CATTTGGTTTTTTTATCATAATGTAAATGCTACAGTCTGTATCGAGTTTCTCACTTTTTTCATTACATACAAAGGAGCAAATGAATTGACAATCTTCTTTAGTGAAAAACAGGGAATTAATGACTCGTCCTTTTTAATTCTAACTAGAAGATGTATAGCAACAAACAGCTTGGAAAACAATGGTAAAGAAAGCTTTGCAATATTAACACCCTTAAAAATCGAACATTTATCTAGCTTTCATATGCAGCAAATCAAGTCCTAAAGATCGAGCCTTGCTATGTGGCAATGTGATAGGTATTAAGCTTTTATCACATTTATTTTCTTTGCCAAAAACTGATATCTTATGGTGTAACAAAAAGACCTTATGTGATTCCTTCCATTTGATTTGAATTGCTCTTTGTGCAAGGGCAAATCTCTGCTTAGCCTTTGTACCTTTTCTTTTTTCTTCTTGTTTAATTCATACACGCATGTGTTTGTTTATCAATATTTATTTATTTGTCTATTAAAAATATTTATTTTGCTTTAAGTATCAACTTTGCTATTAAAAAGATTTTTTCATATTCAGATTTATAGCACATGTAGCATAAGCCACACCAAAGGGTTTGCCAACTGAATCATTTACTGGGTTGCTTTGAGGTCGAACTTTAAGAAAGGATCTACAAAGCAAGCGCTTCTATAGAGCAATTTCCTCCCTATTCAAGAGCTTGCTTTGCTCCGTTTTGTATTTGTTTCTACCTAGCAACTGCTGGTAGTTTGAAGACACGCCCTGGTCTATCGAGCTATGCCTATCGAGCATTGTTCTCTTCATTCTACTTGATGTGACTGCATCTCATGATTCCTACGCATGGAATTTCAGAGAGCTAGCTACACTAAGAGTAAGTTTGGTCATGTCAGGGACTAGAACCCAAGACTTTTCGATCTTTAGTCCACGATCATCGGCGAAAGATTTTGAACTGAAAATGAAACCAGGATCCTAAAATTATATTTGGAAACAGTTTTTCATGCTATTCTTTCAGTCAATAAACACTGCTTTCTTACTCTACCCTAATTTGAAATGCCGCTGGAGCCCAGGCCTAAATACTAAGACCGTTGCTGGCAATTTTGCTGTAGAAAATTTCTGTGAAAGGAATGGGATCTTGTGATTAATGCATAAGATTCTAAGCATTTGGCCTTGGGTTTACTTTCGGCGTGAAGCCTTTAGTCTACCCTTTTTAGTAAAATGTAGATATACATCAAAATGAGTTACTCATGAATTATCGTAATTACTCTATTCTAACTTTATTTCATATTAGATTCGGAATCAGTTTCATATTAGCAAGCACGAGGAAGATTTTAAGAACAGCATATACGCAACTAACATAAGATGAAAGAAAACAGATTTCCTATTAGATGAAAGAAAACAGATTTCCTATTAGATGAAAGAAAACAGATTTCCTATTAGATGTAAGAAAACAGATTTCACTAAATTTTTTTAACATATATCATCACAATTTTTACCGTCTTGTGCTCAGTAGTTATAATATATGTTGATCGATGCTCCCTCCTCAGAACTCGTTACTTGGAAACAAAAACTCGTTACTTGTGTTTATATTCTCAAAGCTATTATTTGCAAATCATTCACTTTCAATTTTCCAAAATGATTCGAAATCTACACGTCCTAGAAGTCTCTTTTTCTGGACTAGATATTTCAGTCCTTTTTTATCTTTGCTAACTCAATTTTCACAATCAATGCTCGTCTGGAAATTTTTGTGATTTGTCTATCAATTCTCTTTTATTTGAAATCTTAATTTTTGGCTGAATGGCCTCGCACCTCCCCCCCTCTCCCCCCATGCTATCGCAAACTCTCTTCTTTACACTAAATCCTCTCAGTTCTGAATAAATTGACAGTGGATGAGTTTTTCATAATTTTTCTCCAGCTGATGTATATTATAGTCACGTAAATCAATTAGATCGCTTCAGTTGAAGCACCAGAAATGCCAGATAGCCAATTAAAGCGCGAAGAAACTTGATTAAAATTCAGCTTTATGATTGGTTTAATTCGAATTCGAGCAAGCAAGAGCACTGCAACTATATATCACTCTGGAATGGGCTTTGAAAAGAAATTTTCAACAAATTGTAGAAGGTTTCGAAAGAAAGAAGGTGAATTAGTAATAAACGTTGTTGCATCGTACTTTAATTATTTTAAGTATTTCTAAACGTTGTTGCATCGTACTTTAACAAACGCATGATCAAAATAATGCTTTTCTGAAAAAATAAATTTATGTCGTTGATTGGTCTACAGATTAACAGTTATTGTTGTCTAGGTCATACTCCTCAAGTCGCCTAATGTTTTCTAAAAAACTAAACATGGCCTAATGTTTTCTACTGCCGCGAGGTATCAGGATACGGTGATGTGACTTTGTCAACGGCTCAGCAGATACAGAACAAGGCAACCATTGAATGGGTGAATTGAACAATGCCGTTTAAATTCTTTTCACATCCCAGTTGTCTCATATAGGGTTTTCAAATCTGGAGCTCAAATTTTGGATGACTAAAAGTTGATCAATGTTAATTCTTTTAGCAGGGCTGATAGCTGAACCATTTTATGCTATCTCCAAAGCAAAAGACCATAGGGCGGTAAACTGGTTAAGGTGATTCTAGGAGCATGGCCCATAACCCCTTTATCTTTTGCTCCAGTGAAAATTTTTGCTAGATTTGCCCCTGTAGCCTTTCCTTTATTACATTGAATACCGTTTCTTCTGATAACTGCCAAAAACAGAAATTTATTGTAAGAAATTGGTGCAGGTATTCTTTATGGTTTTCTCACCCTCGTAAAAGTGGCCTTCAGTTTCAAGCTATTTATTGATATTGCAGAAAGTAGTAACAGCTATATAAGAATGCAGGTAGGTGAAGTCAACGGGATAATGACAGAGGTAGCTCTTTGTCTAGCACCATTGCTAAAGCATTCAATCGAGTTCAGCTTTCAAAAGCTGATCTAGCAAGTGATATTAACCCGTTGACTGGGCCTTAAAGTTAAAAACCCCGTCATCATTACCGGATTGTCATACTGTAAAATGCTCGATGACAGAATCGAAGGCGATTTTGGAATATAGAATCTGTTGCTTGACGATTGCATTTAGCGTGAAACTCGGGGCGGCAACTTAGAACCATCCTGTTCTATATACCAAAAGCCTTTACACCGGATTGCGATTTAACTACCCGGATAAAGCTACATTTGATTTTCGGATGCAGTTACATTAATTCCCCGGAGCAGCTACATCTGATTTTTCGGAGCAAAAACGAAAAAACTGTCGACTTGCTTTCATTAGCAACTCAATAAGCATGTAACTAGATGATTTAATAATAACAAAATAAAAAGCCAATGAAATTAGACAAGCTGATGAAGACAATAAAGAAATAAAAGAAGCCCTAAATATCCCTTGCTATGTTACCATCCTCTATGCAAAAAATCAACAAGGCAATTTGATACTTAAAATTTTAAAAGTTAAACCGTTTTCCTCTGTAATAAGTGTCCACGCTGCTGCCTCTTGAAAAAGTGCCCAGAAACAGTTTAGCGAAGTTAGATTTAGTCACCGTGGGTAGTTTTTCGAAATGAGAAGTAATGTATCAAAGAAAAATTGTGACTCGTTTCAGAGTGTGACGAAGCAAATAGTAACCCGATTCAAATCGAAGAGTGACTTTTTTGGAATGAAGTTGCTGAAAATATTGTCTGATTGCAAAAAATAATGCTTATATTGATTGCAAAAAATAATGCTTATATTGTAAATTTGTTTTATCTCGGAAAATATACCATTTGTAAAGTTCCCTAATCATCCTGAATTTTAGTAGAGGTAATCAGAGAAGTTCGTAACTTCAATTCGAATGTTTATTTTTCAATCTAAGCATAATCTCAATTTAATATAACCTGTACTTTTCTAGATGGAATTGGCGCACCACAAGATAAAAGAATTTTCCAAGCTGGGACACTAAGCTATTTGCTTATAACATAATTTTTACCACTTGTAAGCAAGGCCAGCTAGAAATGTGTCTTGACGTCTTGTTTGGCTTTTAGTATGCTACCTGAAATAGAACTTTACGAGACTTAAACGTTTCTAAGAAAACATTTCATTGAAATTTTCCAAATGATATTCCATGCTTTTCATTGATCAGGTATGCGACTGCAAAAAAGTAATGTTCACATAGAATATTAATTATTTATGTTAAATCGATTGTAAAACGGTAAAAATTTAATAATTTAGTCCTGTTTAATTTTTAAATAATCTCGCTTGCATTATAAAACGTTTAGTGAATCTGTAGGAATATTTTTATTTTCATTATTTAAGTTGAAAGAGGAGGATAAAAGCATTTTGAATGGTCTCGTTGAGCTTTAAATTCCATAAAATGTTTTAAATGCCCGTTAAAAATTGGAACTTTTTTCCGTTAGAGTCTCTTAACAAGCTGCTTTAAAAGAATTTTTGACAAATTGCATAAATTTGAGTTTTACATAAATCAATAATTCTTGAAATTACAATGCAATCTGAAAAACATGCCTTAGAAAAATCAGTTAGTTAGAAAAATCTTTTCATCTTAAATGTGACCATTTAAGAATTTCTGTGAAATTTTTGCAGCAAATCTTTGGAATCAAACAGTTTTAGTGATGAATCGCCCCTCAAGTTTGCACCAAAGGAACCGTTTTAATCGTGCTTACTGCAAGTCACTTAGACTATCTTGCTTGGAAGATAAACGGCTAACTCAGAATCTACGTAGCAGTGAGAATAATAGTTAGCATGTATAATATCCATTGCCCGAGAACCGATCTAATGATATAATATTGTCAATGAAAGACCTTTGAACATGTTAACAGGAACCATAATGGTAACATCTTAAAGTCTAAGTGAATAAGGATGTAAACAAGGATATCCTGCTGCTTATTTCGCCTCTAAAAGTGAAACAATTTCCTTTATTGCTTGAAAATATTTAAAGAATGAGAATCAGAAGTTGACTAAAGAAGAGTAGCAGAGTTGAGTTAACAATCATTTATCATTCAAAAAGGAATCTAAACATGATGTGCGAACGGAATCCCGTTAATGGCTACAGGTTATTATACAAAATTCTATGAAAGTAAGAGTTTCTGTACTCTTCATCTACATTTATCTACCAAAACACGTATATTATTTAAAGAAATGGGAGAGATACTAGAGTGTCAGCTCCATTAATTCTGAATACAAATCTAAACTTGAAAAGGGCCAAAAAAGTAACAGTGGCCTCTTTGCTATTGTTTTCTGGGAAGATTTGCAACGAAGCTACGAGAGAGAGTCGGGTAGAAACACGCATCCTTAACAATTATTGAGTTGTGTCTATTTCGCATACAAGTTGACCCATTAATTAAGCGTACATTTAGAAAACATGTCATTTAAAGGTTTTATTTTCAGTAGTTGCTTCAAAAATGAATTAGAAATTCACTAAAGACTTGTTCAAGCATAAATTCAAATAGGAGGCGAATCCTTTAATTTTTTACATTAATATGTAGCCTACTGCGGTAATAAAGAAATTATTTATTAATTCGAAACTTCCAAATTAATTTACAATTAAGAGGAATACATTTATTTCATTGCAATAAAAGATTTATAGTGAAATGAGGTGGATTTAAGTACGTGAACACGCGACGGTGAACTTGTCTCAAATATCTCGTGTGTTTTGTCAGGTACATTAAAGGCAACCTTGCTGGCGAGATATCTCAACAGGTACTGGCCATCAGTTGGCCTTTTGAAGCGTTTAACGACACCAACTAGCTGAAACTTAATGAAAAAGACTCATATAGCAAAATAAGCCCTTACTGGTGATTCGAAAGAGGAATTGTGTGAAGCACTATTCTCGATTCATAATCAATTGAAGGATAGAGGCTTCGAATAAACATCCAAGTTGAATGCGGACAGGTGCTTCGAGCACGCGTCTTGTGTTTCGTTGTTCTCCATCAATGCGACTGCTTGCAATTTTTATACCGAAATAACCAACTTACAAAATTAGTAAGGCCTAATATCTTACACAGAGACGATCTGTAAACTTGTCTAGAATCCTTGTACATTATTGATTAATGAAGAGTTTGACAGACCGCTGATCCTAACGGAAGTTATACTTTATGCACACGCAAGGAAATATGAAAGACGTTGCTTGAACAAAAGCTCGTTAGAATCATTTGGTAGCTAGATCTTAAAGCATTTAATACCAAAAAGCATTTAATACCAAAAAGCATTTAATACCAAATCTTCGTCCTTAACATAAAGATATTCCTTTGGGGAAGTTTCATTTGCTACAAACGATGAAATCCCCAATGAATATGGCTTATAGCTTACTCGTTGTTATTGCCTAAATCAAGAACAGAAGCGATCTTGAAACCTATAGCTCAATTAACTTGCTTGCCTTCTCTCATTGTTCTGGCTTTGTTGGGACTTCATATTATTACAACTTTCTAAAAATGATAGCTACACAACTGCCTATACAATCTTTTTTAAATCTCTCCCTTCTAATACAGAAGGGTTTATTTACAATTGTCTTGTTAAAAAGATTTAAGCTTATGTATATTTTTAATACTCACGACCCAGCAATTCATATTTTGTAATTCACTTTCTTTATAACTTCTTACCTCAGCCAAGGTGTGCTATTACGAAATCGATTGAAAAGGTTAATGCCAGATTAATGCACTGAAAATTTCATCCTTTTTTTCTTCTGTCTTTGGTTGCAAAACCAAACACGAACTACATTTTTTGAAAGGTCCAGTTTTTCAGCTATAGCTGCAATTTTATCACTCGATGGTCTTGGTTGCATGGCAAAGTAAGCCTCGAGAGAGCGTTTTTCGGCGGCACCAATAGATGTCCGTTTACGTTTTTTGTCTTGGTTAGGCAGGAAAGCACTTTCGTTTGACTTCATCCTATGTGCCTTCTCTGCCTCGTCAAGCCACGCTTGCAAAACAGGTTTAAGGGCCATCATATTATTGTGGCTTAAAGTAAGTGATTCGAATCGGCATATTGTTGACTGACTCAAGGATCCAACTCCTGGCAACTTCAAATGCGCTAAGGCTGCTCCTACATCAGCTTGTGTAACGCCTAACTTTATACGCCGCTGTTTGAACCTTTCTGCGAACCACTCTAACTCTCTTGGTGTACATTCAACATCCTGTGCTGCTGCTAGATTCAGTGAATTGATAGTTGCTTGAAAACTGGCTGTGTTGAACGTAGAAGAAATCGCTGAGAATGAACTTGATGTTGAAGGTGACAAAATATGACTCGTTCCAATATGGTTTTGTCCAACTGATGAAGTTGAAGGTGAAGGGTTTTCATACCCATTTTCAGAAACTGACGGTTGCAGTGAAGCGGATATTTGGTCCAAAATATCATGAGGATCGTACTGAGTAGGGTCAGGGTTTGTAGCATGTAAGCTGTGCAGTCCAAATGCAGTATGCATCTTGGATCCGCTTGGTTTCGGAAGATATTTTGACATACTTTCTACCTGAGGCACGGAGCCTAATAGATGTGCATCTTCAAGGCCATCGAACATATTGGATGTCTAGAGAATAAGAAGCACACCTATGTTAACTTTTTCAGAATTTGTTATTAAAACGCAGAATTGAAATTGCAGGGCCTACACAGGTCACGACGGAGCTTGTAGATGATAGCTAAAGGGCTCATTATTCATACATATTTCTTGCTTCAATCAAACAACTTTTTTGCAAAGCCGTACCTTAGGCCGAGCTAAATGTGCTTCTATCATTCAAAGAATTTGATATTGCAAGAAAACATTGAATCAAAAGTTTTACAAGCAAGAATCTCTAGTAGCTTGACCTGCATCTGACATCCAGCGACTTTAACAACAAGAAATTCCAATGTGCATAACTCTTAAATGTTTTATGATGTTGTCTATAGACTCACAAAGGTCTTGTTTATATATCATTAACATGTTGCAGGGCTCTCGTGTATTGATTAAAAACTTGAGATATCTTTAATGGGAATATTGAAGGTTTTCTTTCAAGGCGACAACTTGAAGTCATCAATATCGTTTCACATGCTACGTCAGGACCTGCCTGGCTTCGCTTTTCGCCGGTTTAAGCTCAAAAGAGCGTTAAATTTTTAATACAAATCAAGATTAATATAAAATATTTAGAGCAAAATATCAAATTCCGAATACTATGTTTTCAAATATGCAATTTTTCAACGACTTTAAGTTGCTATTCGGGACTATTATGACTATTAACAGAATCAATGTACATAAGACGAATTCAACAACCATCCGAAAATCAGCGGTTGTAGTTGAAACATCAAAATTCATAGAAAACTGAACTTGAAATCATTAGGATACTTACAAGACTCGATCTTGATGTCTGGAAGGCGAACTATAAAGAAGAAACGAGAGGCACATGTTAGAAGAAACAAAACACATGTCGATAAGGAATCGCGCATATTGGAATAATCAGTTGTATTGTTGTTTTCTCAACCTGTTCGAACAATGAAGACATATGCTCGAAGACAAAATGAACGGCGTTCGACTTGCAAAGTTATTCAGCTGTCTTGAACAAACTATTGCAGAAAATACACAAGAGAAGGTTTACCTGAGGGCCAAGTGATGCTGAGTGCGAAATTCCGTTAGAATGTAGCGAAGGAGGTCTAGAAGGAATTACCCCGCCAAGGGCCTTTGAGAAAACGCTATCCCTCCCAATTCCATCACTGAAACTCTGCGACATAATAAATGAGATTGTCCTCGATCGTAGTGTGTATTTTGTCCTTCTTGATTGCGCTGTAGTTTCTTCGGCCAATAATCTATGTATGCTTACAGAGGTTTTCTAAATGCCACAGCGTTGCATAGATGTAGGCCAGAACGTGAAAGAGAACCCAGCCTTGTTCTTATTAACATTGTGTTAACATACGCTCCTATGGGACCACCTGCATCTCGTTCCCACAGTATATCAGTGAAACGCTGGAGAGATTGGGCAAGAGACAAGTACGCATGCGCCTTGCGACAGGTGCTGCAGGTTGTTTTGTTTCTATGTGTATTGTGGGCGTCAATAGGCTGCGCTGTTCCGCTCTGTGCTTGACCGCCTTAACGGCCTGCGGGTCATTCTGCGTGAATCATGACGCTCTTTTTCTTCGCAGCTGTTTGAAAGCCGCTGGACGAATTTTCATAGTAACTGAATTGCCAAACAGCTCAAATTTGCATTACGGTGCTAAAGTGCGTCATCTGCTGCTAAGAGGCACTAAAAATGTATGAAAGATAATCATTTAAAAGCCATTTTCTTTAGATAAGTGGTTTCATATTCTAAGGTGTGGGATGGGCAGACCCTCACACCCGATGTTTAAGATTTTTCCTCTGCTATAAATTTTGCCATGTGCTATACTTTAGTCGCTATACTTTAGTCTCCATTACCAATTAGGGATAAGCCCGCTTTTTCATTAAGTATTTGCATTTGTTAAGGAACTGCAAACAATCCTTGGATATGCAAAAAAACGTACTGATTCGAACCTTCGTACTTCAATCGCTTTGCGAAGAATTATTTCAATTTCACTTCTGTTTGTGAATCTTGAGCCCAATATATTTGAAAATTGTTTTTCTTAGATAGATTGATTAAGTGTGCCCAGAATTTGGTGTGATTGGGGTCGTGGCTCTCCAACACGACTGATTCAGGTAATGCAACAGGAGGAAGAAGCGCACTTGTCAGTCACACGAAACCAACTCAGCACTACAAGAAATTCCCGCTAGAAAGGCATATTTTTTATTCTCAAGCAAACTATAGCTTTCTTTAAAATCGACTGAGCCATTTGAAAATTTGCTTTGTGTCTGTTTCTGGTGTCATTCGTGAGTAGTTCTCTGATTACAAGAGAAAAAACATCATTTGGATGGCTACCAAATGAATTTCTTAAACGGATATTTTGAAGAAACCTTTAAAACTGTGCGTTTTTTGTGACGCAGATCTTGTGACATTATGAAGTGGACGGGTCAAGAATCGTAAAGCCAAAAATTGAATATGACGTTATAGTCAGCCTAATCAGCCGAGCATAGTCCTAACACCATTGGCCAGTATTCAAAGAACTAAAACGGTATTGCCTTTTTGCCCTCTTTTCAAGGAACAAAAGAACTGGATTGCTTTGCTAGATAACTATTCGTTTCCGCTATTTTGTGCTAACTTCAAAGTTTGGTACTAAAAACTTATTTGTTTACAAGATTAATGTTTAGATTATGTTATTGATATTACAGTTGCAATCCGCATGTATATTGACTTAACTAGTGGATATATATTATTTCCAAAGCTTTCATTTATGAGGTAACATATTTAGCTGCTTAAGACTGCTAAATTGTGTTTTAGATGGTAAGGTTTAATTGGAAATTCATTAAATAATTATAGCTTTTACAGAATTATTTATTCGCAGAATTCTCTCTCGATCACATTTCCTCTCATCGATAACAGCACATGGATTCTTTTCTAAATAAGTCGACAAACATTTTTCATGGCTTTTTAGCTTGATTGTGAACTTAAGTATAAAATCCCTTTGCTGGCAAAGCAAGGTTTGAATGATCTTGTTGAATAATTGGTTTCAAAATAAGATGATAAATGAAATTTTGATCCTTTTCTTTTATAACGCAATTTTCTCTTGTTCCTTTTCTAAAGATGGTAGGCTGCTGGAAACTAAGGCAGTAGCGGGATATTTTTTAAAGCTGCACGCTACCTTTTGCTTTCTTGATCAATGGAAGCAAAAATTTATAATCCAAGGGAAATAAACCGAGAAAATATATATGCAAGGCGCATTTTTGCTTTTTTTTATCGTATATCATTAATCGCCTTTTTGGATACATATTCAGTTTTTTATTTGCTTCTCTAAAAAAGCTCATTGCCAAAGAAAATTTCGTCATACTTATCTTAGCAAATTTTAATGATCAAACTTAGTAACCATTATCTTTCTGTAGTTAAAAGTGCTTTTTCTGGACTTTTTCTTTGATAATAGTAAAGTAAATTTTGGGAATCTTGAAAAAGATTAACCAATGTGATTCCACTACTCTGACAATCTTTCTTTCCTTCCAGTGCAAAGGGTTTGGAGAAAAAAGGAAGAAAAAATCATTCTATTTGCCAAAATACTGCACAGTTCATCCGTCTTTTTTTATGCAGCTTTTTAAAACTTGATTACCTAGTTTTTTAATTTTGATTTTAAATTTAAGCATAGCAATTTAGCAACATAGAGGCATAAATTTTCTAAAAGTTTCTTTTACCTTAAGTAATGTTTATATTCTGGTACCAATCGCACCTGAAGTTGTCTGCTTTAAAATCGTTAATATTCTATGTGTGTTGTGTTTACTATCTATCGTGACATTCCCCATCACCTTTCTGTTCTTTATGAGCGTACTACTACCTCTAGGGTGGAAATAGAAAAAAACAGAAATGTTTCTGGTAAATCATCAACCATTATTCTATGCTCTTCAAATACTTTTGGCATAATTAGCTAATTTGGCCAAATATTCTTTATAAGAAAAGTAAAGTCTCAGTGCCTGTCTTAAAAAAGCTCTGAAATTTTAAATACTTAAGCAGAAGCTCAAGACAGGGGACCCTTGAGCTAGGTAGAGACCTAAACATGTTGGTGACTTTTATCAGATTTAGTCTTTAAATTTATATTGTGTTTTGAGGAAAAGGAAAGAGGGAATCATGTCAAAAACCACTTCACAAGACCACCCCCCCTCCCCTCCAGCAATCCAATATCCTAGTCAAAGTGAACAATGTAACTTAAAGAAGACCATTCTATATGTAAATTTATGGCACTTTTCTTATGATTTATAAACAACAACAATCGACTAGGCACATGTTGTTGATGTTGGTGAATGGTGGACACAAGCTTGACGGGCCACAGCAGCATTAAAATGTCTGCTGTTGTTAATGCATGCCAATGAATCCGATGTAGCCTGGCGTCTTGAGTAGTTGCGTAAATCCAACAGGTACAACATAGCTATGGTCATTATTGATAGTTCTAACTGCACAACTAACAGCGGCCTTATTTCAATATGAATACTGCTGTTTTAGCATTGAAATCCAAACATTTTAAAATGCTTTTTATTATGAATGGATGCATTGAATTTCATGTCCAGCACTTCAATTAATAGAAGCAGAAAGAACCTGCTAAGATATTGGCGTTCATTTCTCTTGACTTCAAACTAGCTAAATCAGATGTAAATGTTTTCTACATAACATGAAAGGTCGTAACGCAAGAAATGTATCATATCTTAGCAGGGGAGTTTGTTTTTCAGCTGGAGCTCCAATGCTCTCTCTCTCTCTTTAGTTTGTTTCTAGGTGGTTTTCGATTTGCAGGAAAGATCTTAGGCTGGCGTTAGAAGTCATTCATCTCGATGAAATGAAAATATCACTTAAACGCGTTCATAACCAACGTTATACTTTACAGAGGCATTAAAGTTTCAATCTTTTTGTTTTAAAGAAACAATAATCGTAGCTCCCGATTTGTCGATTCTTTGTCAGACCCTATTGCTTCGTTTCCTCTGCATAGCAGCATATCAGTGGATTTTCTGACTTTAGAACGTTTTTTAGAACGTTAGAAAATTTAGAGCGCTTTTGCAATATGCCTCTTAAAGAATGCCGATGAAGGCATGGACAGCATTTGTAGTGAAATGAGATTCGTTAACTTTTCAGAGATGATACCCGCTACTACTCGGCTACAACTTTGACTTAAATGCCATTCCCGTCGATAGCCAACGATAGCATATTCAAACCAACTTAGAATCTGGTGTAGCAAATTGATGCGTATAATTTCTAAGAGTATTAAGCTGCGTATGCACAACGAGCCTCGATGTGGAGAGGAGGTGATGTGGAACCATTTTCTTATCTGTAGCCACGAGTTGAAATGCTCTTCATACTTCAAAAGATAACTTTCCTCTTCTTCAAAAAGCATTATGGAACAGGGACGCCGGAACCCATTTCGGAATAAGAAGGGGTCTAGTCAATTTGCCAGACTCTTATGTTAGAGATGCCACAATACTAACATCATACTTTTACATTTTAACCCCACATCTGAGGCGTGCCTAATATTAGGATACTGTAGCGTGTAATGTTCCATACATTTAAGAGCATTCACATTTTTTCTTCAATTCATTTAATTTTCGGTATAAATTGCTTTACATATTTTCAACTTATGTTGCTGCATCGGCAATAAAGGAATGCAGGAAAAAAAAGCTAACGATTATCCTTTCCATATTAAGCTTCCTGGCATTTGTTAGATATGTTATATCAAATGTAACGTTTTCTAAAAAAGTGTTACATTTTGATGTGCTCAAGTGTTTCCATTCCATTGTAATAGTTGCTCAAGTGTTTTACTCTATTCTATTGTAGTGTCAAAGTTTTAGATTATCTATTAAGGAAAATCACCTTTTAAAATTTGTTTTCATGTTTCGTTTGCAATCCTATCCGACACCAGACTGCTTCCTTTTCAACCTAGCCATGCTGCCACTGCTGAACTTCTGTTTGGCCAGCTTCTCTTAAATGAAAAATGATTCATTTTCAGAAAGGGGAAATATCAACAATAATACATTTGATTAGTAATTGAGATTCTACCCATGGTGACCATCATAATACTGCGGGGAAAAGGTTTAGATTCAGATGATTACAGATAGTCTCGAAAGCTTGGCGTTAGTTGGAAAAGTGCAGAAATTCTCCTTTTATGTCAAATGTCAAATGATTATCACTGAACAAATGATGCTGGACATCACTGTACCCTTTGGCCTAAGAACCTACCTTTCTTACTCCTTCTCTTCGATCTCAATTAAGCCTTTTCTAGCTGTTTCGTTTTGATTTCACACGTAGAGAAATGCTTTAATTGTATGAAAATATTAAACACTTAATCCTTCTAAGTCTTCTAAATCTCCTTTCCTAGGCATTTGCGTTTGAAAGAAATCATCCTCAATCTATTCTTTAAACATGTTTCATCAAGAGTAACAAACTATTGTCTCTAGAGACCAGCATGTTTTTTGGGATCTTCGTATCATCCAGCCAATTTCAATTCTGCACTCTATATTCCAGTCATTAGATCTCTAATATTGTTTTCTTTTTAAAGTGAACCATCTAGTGCAAATTCTTGACTATTTGTTGATTCAAAAGAGCGCACGTGCCTAGAGAATTTGCCTTGAGGTTTTGACAAACAAGGACAACCGCCATGCTACGTTTAGTTGATGCTGCTTTGTTTATGAATATGGTTTGTTAGGTTTCTGTTTAATTCTAAACAGCAGTCGTATGTTGAAATTAAGTCTTGCATTTTGTTTTGAATTTCTTATCTAAGCTGTTTCCGCGGGTCTTCTCAAAACAAAAGTAAGATCTTCTTAGGTATAACTTATATTTACAAGGATCAAACCTTCTTTATCAGAAACTAGAGCATCAAAAATATTCACTCATGCTGTCCATTTGGCAGGTATTCAAACACAATGTTTGTCAAAGCCTATTTTATTATCCGGAGTTTGAATTAAATGCCTTCAGTTGCTTTATTGTTTGGTGTAGATTAAAGAAATTGCTGTACATAAAGTCCGTTCCGAAGACAAATATAAATTGTTGAAAATTTGATATAAAAGCAATTACACTAGGCCTACAAAATCGACGCATAACGATTCTTCCTTCTATTTTTAAAGAAATATTTTCAAGTTTTCAGGAAAAGTTAATTGAACAACGCTTTCTTACTCTACTGTGAATGCAAACATAAGTTAACTAAAGTGAAATGAGGAAATGCAGCTGGCAACAATGGACGAGTGCAGCTTCTCAATTAGGCATCGGGCAGCACAAGTAACGGAGAAGGACACTGCTCACCTTATCAAATTCTACAATGAATCTTAAGAAATGCGTTCTTCTCAATAAAGCGTCTAACAGGTCTTTCTGAATGCTAATTCTGAATTGAAGTTGATTTTATATCCGAGATACCTGTTGTCGATTCATTATTGCTAATGTAAGCAAGAACTTTCTCTTAGTGCAGATAGAATATTACAAATAATTCTGAAATCACCACGTAAATGCTAGGCATGTTGACTTTGATATTTCAAACTGCAACCGAAGCAAATTCTTCTTATTATCAACATTGTTGCTAGTTATTTCTGAAAATTTTTCTTACCTGAGCCAGTTTAATGCAGGTGATGACCAGACTTAACTAACTTGAACAAGCTTTCTGAAACCGAAAGAGCAAATACCGCAATTCGAATGAAAAATAAAGCATTGAAATCATCCTGATCGTTGTTTTCGATGTTCAAGGTGAACAACAAACTTTGAGCCGTGCCCGTAACTTGTTATTTTGATAAAAGCATGTCTCTATCTACCAGAGACTGCCAGACTGATTTACTGAAACGCTAATTTTGACTTTGTTAAGTACTCAACTACGTTAAAAATGTATCAGGGATATTATTATTCAAGAATGCCTCGCATTAAATATGGACGAGCTAGTAAGAGAATCGGGCGAGTCATTTGATCTTTGTGTGCTTACATGAGTCACGAACCCGTACTAACATAACAGAATTCTGTCCACCATCTGTTCATTATATCTATAGAATTAATCTCGAAATTCAAAGGAGTTCAATAGTATGCATAATGCACTCTTTTCAACGCCATTAGGTCTGTGTAATATCGTGGTCATAGACAGACAGAGCTGCATTGCTAAGACAGAACTCGTTAAGCTTCGAAATAGAGTACTTGGATCCAAAGATTGATACTGTCCGCACAAGTTAGCTCAGAGATCTGTTTGATTCATAAAAGCTACAGTAACTTTGCCTACACTCTAAGCAATCTACTATCATATTCGTACTTAGCAATGCATTTCCTTTTTCAATGTTTGCCTCTGAGATGTCTGCTATATGAAATATCTGTTGGCTTGGCTAAAGTTTAAAATCTATCAGGAGTTCTGCCATCGATTCTCAATGCCAAGGAAGGGGTTTGTTAAGTATAAATCGATTTTTCCGATACTTTGTTCTTGTCTCAAAAGCGCTATAAACAAAACGAGAAAACTTGGTATTAAATACGAGTTGATTTTGATCTTGTTGTTAAGTAGCTACAAAACTGCACAAAGTACAATGAAGCAAATTTGGAGCACAGGTGTTTGTAATATGTGTTGCGATTTTGTGAATTTAAACAGGTTTCTTAATTGAAACTCGTAGATAAACTAGGAGGCTGAACAAGGAAGCAAGCAGTTCGTGATGGAACAGCTTGTGTCTCTGTGCAGAATTAAGCGTATAAACACAGAATATTGAATTTTAACAAAGACAAAGACAAGCTAGCGTTAGGCTTGCATACAGCAATATGCATGCGAAAGCTGCAGTAAGTTTCAGTTTAGCATATGAACGCTAAGTAGGCATTATAAGAAACAGAGGCCCTATTGCTCCTCTGGTAAAATCAAGGTAATAAGCAAACAGTATCAGTGGCAGTACAACTTATTTTGGATGCGTTGAATTAAGACCACAACGAAAGAACAAACCAGAAGTTGCACGAGAAATTGAATTGGTCACGTTGAAACCACCTGTTGCGAACCTTTGGCGCTGACTATAATAAAACGGCAGAACGGGGGATAATACTCTGTAATCAACTGTAAACCACTAGGTCGAAACGAGCGTCTGACATAATTAAGCTTTCTGCAACTTTGAATAGAAATCATCGCATGACGTTAAAACTGATTTATAAAAGATGCCAAACCACAACCAAAGGCGTTTCTATTGGATAAATTTTACAAGAGAATTTTTTCTGTATTGCTTTTGATTTATTTCATGATTTAACCTGAAAGGAAATGCAGACTTTTGGTTCAAATATCTGTTTAATGACTTTATTCAACAGAGGTTATTTGGTATTTCAGATTTGCAAGCAAGTTATATCATCTATTGAAAATCGTTGCCGAGTAACTCCAACACCATCCCAACAAAGTCAAATCGAAACCTCACAAGCCGGGCATGACGTTGTGAGCCAAGAGCTTGTCGTGTCATTGCTGGCTTTTCAATCGGCAGGCATATAGAAACGTTTCTTGGGAGCATCAAAAAATAAACCAATAGCCTACTAGCCATTATTTTTCAATCTTTATTTCATGACGAGGTTATACGGAGGAGTGGCTCAGCTTAACCTCTTAATGGTAGAGGTTACCTAAGGAATGATGTAGAGTGCAGGTGAGAGACAATGCTATGCACAGCATAGTTGAATCTTATAAGGACATTTCATTGGTCGCTTCGGCAGCTGTTAAGGATCTGGTTTTATTTAAGTGCAAGGCTAGATCAACCGTATAAAACAGCGGTAAAATTCGCCACTGACCCATATTAAAAGTTGATATAACTGTGATTTTACAGTAATATGCTTCTAAGAAGCTGTTGATGTAGAATTATTACATTGTTTCTCTGATTTTTCACTTTTCTCATAACATATGACGTCAGAAAAATTTGGCTGACGGAAAATCTTAAACTTAGAAATTGACATATTGGGCGGAAATTTCACATATAAATTTCCTATTGACCGGTCAGAAATTTCCTATTGTAAAATTGGCGATAATTGTAGAAAAACATAAGTTAAAAACCACCCCATTTTTCGCTCATATTCCTAGCCAAAGTGCCACAATTTTATATTTCTGTATTACGTGTAAAAAAATCATTGTAAAAGAATTTTTTTGCCGTGAAAGCATATGTATCTTGTTCTGCGTTTCTCTATGGCTCGCAAGTGTTTGAAACAGGGGCGCCTTCAGGTGAATATCGCCTAGGGCGAGCATTGAAAATGCGTCACTGTCAAAACAAGTGCTTTAATAGATTTTATTGCTCCTGGCTTAAATAATATGTTTTTACTGGCGTTTGTTCTTTATTGTCTGTAAAGAGCTTTCAATAAAAGTAATGAACAAAATAATGAATTTTTGGTGGAAAGTAAGAATTGACATAGAAACAGACTGTTTCGAACATTGTCTAGATCTAGGGCTCCAATACGGATATATCAGTTTTTGTGAATGACTATTGAACTAATGGTAGCAGTGTGATTTCATATGACAATGATATGTTTTAGTTGGAAAAATTTAATATTCTTGGGCTTGAAAATGCTATTTATGGGTGATAGTAGCTGCTTTGGCAGAGGTCTGCGCTCTCCGCATTCATCGATAATTTATTCAGAAATACCAAAAGTACTGTAGTGATAGTAGCTGCTTTGGCAGAGGTCTGCGCTCTCCGCATTCATCGATAATTTATTCAGAAATACCAAAAGTACTGTAGTAGGTTACAATAAAAACTTGTCAACAGAAAAGAATCAAAAAGACTTTTTGCAATGAAAGCTGAATTGTGGAATGGTAAAGTAAATGCGTGAGAAGGATAAGCTTATCTAGTAAAATTACCAAATTCAATCTCTCATCACCGAATAGAAATTTCATTGAAAAACTCATCAAGGGTTAATATAAGACATGTTTCAAGTAAATATCTACAATCCCGGACAAAAAAAGGTTGAGACTTTTCAAGGAAAGCTTATATTTTCACTTTCCTTTCAAAGTAACTTCTCCCCTCCCCCAATTCAATATTGAATGCATTTGAAGGAGAAATGATAGAACTACGAATCCAAAATTGATTTGGGGGAAAGCGGGGAGGGGTTTGAATTTATAAGGGTGACATAAAATAGAAAATTGTAGAAATTTCATTTGTCTCAACAATTTTTTCTGGGAGTGTAGAGCTGTAATAGCTGTAAGCTATTAAATCTAAGTAAAACTGGATAAAACCCACGAGGGAATGAATTTAACTTTAACACCTAGATCGAACGAACCAAAACTATATACATTACACTAAAAATTAATGCTGAAAGCCACTGGCTCTTTGAATTAAAAAGTAAAAAAATAATTGTAGCAAGGAAGTATTTTTGAAAATTTGGGACAAATATGATCAAGTAACTTAAATACGGGGTAACTTAAAAACATGTAATCATATTCGGACACTTGTAACACAGGAAATTTTTCATATCTATTGCATATCAAACGAACAATAAAATAAGACAAAAGATTAACACTAAATGTTATGGGTGTTAAATTTTCCCTTGGTACTTTCCAACTTGTGTTGGAGCTCATGTTGTATACGCATAAAATACGCGAGTCTCTTGAATTTTAAAGTAGTTATTGTTTCAGAGGACAAGATTCTAGTTTTTGATACCCTTAGATTGTAAAGTAAAGCAGCAGAAGTGACAAACGTAGCTGACAGATACAACATGCGAATATGGTAAAAAGGAGGCGAGTCTCTAGAGTCCAGAAATGTCCAAATTTTTCCTTGTCAAAATCTTCCTCCAATTTTTAAGGCAATCACCTTGGATAGGGCGTGGCTAGAGAGTAGCTAGGGCATAAGGGGTGGCAGAAACGATATAAATCGATACAGATTTGTGTGCTTGGGTCGAAGGTAATCATCGGGCACGATAAAACTTTGCTACAAAAGCATTCAAAACATTACAGCTCAAGAATAATATTTCTTTTAAAATGTCGAGTAATAGAATTGATTGAAAAATTTCATAACCATGGAACACGAACAGTATTCTTTTTTCAGATGTATTTTCTGGCAGTTAAAGGGCCTGGCCTGAAAACGTTTGTTTTGTCAACCTCCCCTCCCCCGAAGCCTAGTGGTTCACGCCACCAATAGATTTTGCAACAGATTCAATGTTTGTTTTGAAAGTGCAACGAAAAAAAAGTTGTCTTAATTGTTATTTAAATTCTCTTTACCAAAACCTCCCTCAAAACTTCTATTTTTTCCGAAACCTCCCTCCGCTGAATGACCGTGCGACCGTAATGTTTTCTGGACTCTGCGAGTTTCCTTCTTATCTCACAAAATGAAACCATTAAATAGGCTAATCTTGTAGCATACAACGAAAAGTTTCTTCGAGTGGCGACCCCTCGAGCGGTGACTGCCGTTTTAGAGGTGACCTCCTTCGAGTGCTGCCTATCTGCTACGCCCTAAATATGCCCCTACAAGGAATACCTGTTGCTTAGAAGGTATGTCAATGACATTAACTGATCTCTGGCTATAGAGCATCGACTAACAATTTGAGCTAAAATCTCCTCTAAGTATTAAATGGTTATGCAAATACAAATGACATATTAATTAAAATAGCTTCTTGGTCAAAACATTTAATTATTCAAAGGATTCACCAGAAATTTTTTAATGCAAGACCTACTGGTCAATCTTTTCAACCTACTCCCTTTTATTTCCCACCTCCCTTTTTAGTTGTGAATTCTAAATGATCGTGGTTGAGAGAAAGGCCATATTTGTGTTGCAACAAATCACGATTATAAACGATCACTAAATATCTGTCTGTTTGCTCTCACGTAAATGCCCACAACCGAATTGTTTTTGCGAGCAACCCAGAGATCAGTCTATGCGATGAAAATGCAGTAAAGCGCCTGCTCATTGACAACTAATCCAGTTTAGAAAATGCATTTTCCCTCTTCAATAGACTTGTGACCTGAATATGAAGATCAAATGTCAAATATATAAAAAAGAACCTCGCAAACTTTCCGTTCAATCAACAGATGACATTGACCAGGTTTTGATATTACATCTAGTGTCAGCTTTAGGATTCCAATAAACGACCAAGTGAGTAAGAGGGAAAAAATAGTTTTGAGCTTTAATTTCAGAGCAATATGTTTTGATGACAAGATTTTTATAAAAAGAAATTATCGATTTCGGACACATTTCGGATATATTTCAGACAAAATTTCAGCCAGTCTATAGAGTAGCGAAACAATGAAAACACAAAAAATCTATTTTAAAATTTGACTATATAGCCCGAACAACTATTCGGAAAATCTCTTAACGTGAAAAATCAGTTGATTGTGTTACAAATTGGCTAAGATATGGCCACTTAAGCACATGCACTTTTCCCATCAAACCTCTGTAATTTGGTCTTGGTAACAGTAATCCGCGACCAACCATGTATCATTGGCCATACATCGCCCAATTTTCAACATATTTAACTGCTTTTGTATATTTAGAGGTATTTTTTGCCGTTCTTTCAGTTTATGTTGGTAAAATTAACAAATTATAAAAAAATAGATTTTTGATGACGTCACACTTCGGTACTCTATACTTACTAAAAGACTTGTTATTTTGTTTAATCATCTCAAACTGCCTTTGTATTTTTTGCGCACTTCATTTTCCCGTAAGTATGGCCAATTCAAAGCTTATCGATGTGAATCTCTGCATCTTGTTTATTCCTGTGTCTAGCGTAAGGTGATTTACGATAGGTACACACGATGAGATTTCGCTAAACAAAATGGCTGTTAATGCGTGGATAACATGCTATTTTGCATCCATAGCATTCAGACATTGTAAATTTTTCTTCTTTTTGGTTTCATATAGAAATCGAGGTAGAAGATAGATCCAAATCTTTAACAAATATTCATAGTCCACGTAGAGCAGTGAAGATAAACTTAATAATGCCTTTTTATATGTTGATGATTAGAGGCATTTGACATGCCTAAGTACAGCGAATCCAAAAATAACTTAGGCCAAATTGATCAGAGCACGCGCTCAAGAAAGGTATTGAAAACCGCTCACGTGAAACCACTGCGCGCTGCTCTAGGATTTCACCGATTTGCAGAAAGACGGAAACTGTTCACGTGTTTTTCTCTGTGTGCAATTTGATTGGTCAACCGCTCGCTGGTCAACCTGTGTCAAATGTCTTTAAAGGTAATGTGTCCAGCTATAGCAAGCGACTCTGCGGGGGTTTTTAGAAACATGTGATTTTTCATGTCATCGCCACAGTCATTACGATCGTTCTGTTTATTTATCCTGCTGCGAGGTTAGCTTTTCATGTGAGCAGTTTTGCATCCCAAGAATACTAACCAATCGCAAACTGTTATTTTGATGGGTGGCTTGACAAGTTGGGTATACGCAGTCCTTTTATATGGACACATTACCTTTAAGATAAAAAATAATCATGTTTAACGGTTTGGATTTTATATCTAATCAATTCAGTTATGTTCCCGATGCGTGTTTAGATCACATATTCTGTTAAGTCCTGTTGTGTTAGTGAACGCCTTTTTATGGCAATATGTTTGTTTCTCAACATGTAGTGTGACGCTCGTATTGTCCTGTTAATTAGCTTTTGTTTATGTTATTAGGCTATCAGTCTTTCCGTTGAAGCATTAGAGGGGCCTAGGCCCTTTGACCTAGCCCATCGCTCCATCAACGAGCTGGTTATTAAGACAGCACAGAAAGCTGACGTTAACGGGTTATTCACCGTCATAACAAGAACCCTGATCGTTACACATGCATGATTTCATTTTCACCAAAAGAAGGCATGTCCATTGCTTCGTTTTATACAGTCTTTTAATTTTCAGCGCAATTTTGCTTCTGGAAAAATAGAGACATGAAACGAACAAATAAAACCTTTTGTCCGAAAAACGCCCTAAACACTTTCCTTTAGTTGAGTGACACACTATAATATCTGCAAGATATTTCAATAAAAATAGACTAGAAGCTATAATGCAGAGAATAGTTCATGAAACATGACATGGCTTAAATTGCTTTGGTGGCTTCAGTTGTAACAGGCTATCTATGAAATATCAGCCAGCAGCCTAGCTTCCCTTTTACTTTCATATTCACCATAAATGCTTGTTTAAGCCATTATTTGCTTGCATTTTCTATCATACAGTGACTTTAGAGAATTAATCGTTGGTTAAAGTCCACAAGTTTAGTCAATACTTGGTAGGTTTTCAATTTGTGGTAACCCATTCACAAGAAGAAACAAAGTTTATGGGAATAAAAGATTTGATCCCATTAGAAATCCACATAGATACTAAGATCAAATATCTATTTCTTTAACAACAGGCTTATTTTCATCGATAATGCTCTTAAAATGCAAGCTAGATAACCGCTATATTTCACAAACTCAAACCAAAATAACGACAGACATGTGTTTGCGAAGAAACTTGAGTTTTTTCAATCTTCAAGTTTTTTTTATAAATGCCAGCATGGTAAGCAGGAGTAAAAATAAATAGACAGTAGAGTTGTGGTAGTAGTTTCTATCATATCAACATTAAGTTAGAAAAAAAGAAATTTTTACAAACAACCTTTAGCAGTGACTTGCGTATGTCATGTAAATGTTTGTCGGCAAAAAAGAATGTTCTGCTCGAGTGACATTCAGAGAAATAAAAACAAGCGCCACAGGACGAAAGGGAAAAGAGTGGACAAATTAAAAAAGCCTATGCTTACATTGCTGAAACAAAGATGAAAAGGGCAGTTAGTATTTTGGGATTATTTTAAGGTATAAAACGAATTGAAAGGATAAATTGTACCGCACACTTCAAACACCAAAGTGGATCATTGGTTCCCATCATTCATTAACAGAGAACTGCGCTTACTTGCAAATTACAAATCATCTATGTATCGAGTGATCACCTTAATGATAATAAATAAATAAAACATTGTGGTTCTTCTAGCTATGTGCATCGTTAATCTTCCTCTTCGACTTTAATCTTCTTCGCTGCTGTGCAATTGTATCCGGGACTTTTCCGGGCATTGCTCTGTAGTTCATTACTTTGAAACGTAACTGAGCTAGGGTACGATGTTTTGAGAGGTCCGTATGCTGATGATTGTGTCAATGGAGACTGGGGAGACGCCTGTCGGTAGAATGCCTGTGGGTTGCTGGTCTTGCTATGACTAGGCGACAAAGCAGCATCAGGCGAGTTATTATATTGAGAATAAGCTTTTGTAGCAGTACCATGAGGTGACAGTTGCCCAGCCTTAGGATCACTGCTATTAAAATTCTGGCTTTTATCGGAACAACTACTACTGGGAATTTCTTCTTTTGCTGAGCTGCTTGCAACTAGATCGCAAACATTTTCGGACAAATCTGTATTTTCGTGTCGGGTTTCCGAGCTTTCACTGGACGAATCGACAGGCATTATTTCTGCAGGCTGAATATCCGAAAGGTCACGACGCACTTTTGTCAACTCAATAAGCTTGGCACAAGCAGGAAACTTCGAAGAGTCTTCAAAAATTGAGCGAGTGGTACTACTAGGGGTTGTCAGTGTTTCTGCATTTTCCATTAATTTGCCTTCTAATTGATATACAGCCCCACTTTCACTTTGAGATATACTATAGTTTTTGTAACCTTGAGCTGGTGAAATCGCTGCTAGTCCCTGATTATTTGATGAGCTTAGTAACGGGATTCTCGTGCCAAGTGCGACAGAAGCCAACTTGTCCATTTTCGAGGTGTGGGAATTGCTTGCTATGAAGCTAGGCTCAGGAGAATGACTTTCACCAGTATAAGAACGTTCACTGGACCTTGCCAGTACATCAGAAGAACTACGAAATTGCTTAGAAAAGCCTGGCTGTTGCTTAAGCTCTTCAATATATTCATCACTTCTTTCTAATGCCATCTGAAGCCTTTTTATTTCACGTTCATACATTTCAACTTTTGTTTCTAAGGCAGCAACCGTGTACCTAGAAAACCTAAAAAAGTTGTTAGCTATTTTCAGAGACTGGCATTTCACGAGAACAAGAATTTTTTGTAAAATTTGCATGTGTTATTCTAATGAATAGAAGATTGTAAACGAAGAAAAGACGTAAGAAACATGTTCAGTTCAGAAATATGTAGATTGTATGTTTAGCAGAAAAGATTACCTAAATCCCTAAAGCAATGTTCATAAATACTTAATTACCTAAGACAATGCTAACAGAACCATTACATGCATCAAGAGTTCAGTTATTTCATTTCTACTTAGCCATTTATGACCAAGGAAAAATCTGTGTTCTGCGATCAATAAAATGGTCCAAATTGATTGAATACAAATCTTATGCCGCTCTTATGTAGCCGATAGGCTCAACTAATGTCATGCCGTCAATATTGCGAATATACATATAATCACTGATCCCCTGGGCCACATATTTGACAGTGGCGATCAGCCTAATATGTTGACTTATCTATTAACTTTATTTAGACAAAATACCAGTGCAACTGTACTCACTTTCTTGGTGAAACGCTGAAATTATTTTCATTTGACATTTTTTCCATTTCTTCTTTGATGCTTTCATTTTTCTCGACCGTCTCTTGTAATTGCTGAGATAAAAAATATATCAGAAGTCATAGCAAGCAAAAATCAACTGTGTAAAAATCTAGTGAAACAGGGTTATCTATGAAATAAAATGGGGCAATTGTAACAATTTCGAAGCAAATCTCTCCCTTTTTAAACTACCTTTTTCAACTTTTTGTTTTCGCTTTTCAATTCATTGTTGAAATTGATGGTATCTTGCAAACGAGATGAAAGCTTTAAAATTGTGCCGATATCTTGGGGAACAGTATCTCCATTTTTCAGCTCTTGTCGACTTCCATGTGAAGAGCTGGCCAGTTTAGTTTCTGCGAATTCTAACCTCATTCTTAGGTCAGAATTGATTTCTTTAATATGCTGGTTCTCTTCTTCGAATTCCTCTATGCGTTGTTCTAGTGTCTTTATTTCTCTCTGTGATTGAAATTTATAAGCCTTTCAATTATAAGAAAACAGGTAAAAGATGCATGTTGAAACAAGCAACATTTAAAATAGTTATCTAGCAACAAGATACATAATAACTGAACCGAAACATCGAAATTACCAATGAAAAACCATGTTATGTGGCCGTATACTTAGCGAAATGTCCAAATTTCATACGAAAAAAACCCCATACGTCAAAACCCAATTCCTGAACTTGGTATCTAACCTGAAATACTAAAGAGAATTTTTGAAGAACAGAAATATCATTCATGGAAAAGGCTTCATGAAAGAAGATAAACTAGGTTTTGACGTAGGCACGCTGTCAGGTTAGCGTAAAGAACTACAAATTCAAGGGGCGGTGGTTCCAATCAGGGACATGCCCAGACTTTCACTTAGAGCGAGGGAAGCCACTACTTTCCGGTTATTCTGAACATGGGAACAATGAGGTGTTGTCACATCCAGTGTAAGGACCAGGACACTGCTTGACAAGCATAGCTTTAGTAGAGTTAAATTCAATACTGTCCAACATAAGCCACTAATGTCATAAATGAAAATGAACTTCAGATATAGCAATTGTTAAGTCAAAATATATTCGCAAATGCAAACTCGAAAGCAATTATTTAAGAAATCTTCTTGTTAAACTTGTTCATATACCTCAAATTCTTGGAAGAGTATTTCGAACCTTGTTCTTCTTAATTGTCCTTTTATTTCTTTATTGGTAGCTGTTGGTGAAATGTCCATGCTTCCTACAGGACAATAGATTTACAAATATTAGCATACAACCACATAGATGCTGTTAACATGAAAATATGCAAAGTCATTTCCTTGGGTAAGACCATAATTGGATTCTAGATGAATCCCAAATCATTCAACTGTGGGAAAATGCATTTTAACTGCTCCCTTGCAAATAATGATTTTAAGCTCTCTATAAACATTACATTTCCTTTTTTCAGTACTGTTGCGAAAAATTCCAGGACTCCTTTGAAAAAAAATTTAATCGATTTTATAAATTAGCATTTTTGAATAAGCAAGTCTAAGAAAGTATTACTAAAGAAAGTTTTAAGCGAAAAGCTACTCAACGTGTTAATTCTACATGAAGGAACCACGTGATATTAATTGCTCATGCCACATCGCTTAAAGGTCACTTGCAGGTTGCATTAGTCAGTTTGTGGATGACCTATCCAGCACAGTTACGTTCTATTACTTGACGATTCTCAGTGTATGAAAATCTTTTTACGCGTTCTATCACTTGCTCGCGCGCTCGGGCTGTTACATTGATTTACAATTTACAATTTTTGTTTGAGTTGCACCCTTTATTGGTTCCGTTCTCTTGTTTTACTTTGTTTCAGTTCGAAAAGCCAGTAAATAGCTTTAATGTCAAAATCATGTCGAAATTACTTGCTCTGTTTTTTTACAAGATTTCAAAGGCAAGACTTTCTCAAAACTGTTTTTACAAGAAAGAGATGAGGAAAATAAGAATCACAGGAAACGCTTACATGAAACTTCAAACATAAATTGACATAAAATTGTCGCAGCAATTGCTGTAGCTCCACATTTCAATACACTGTTGCCTGCCAGGAGTGGTCAATTGGTTTCAATAAAATATCTTCTGAAAGCCCGAATGCTGTACCATAAAAGCTCCTGCAGCAGCTGATCCATCCTATAACAATCTGATGATTACCCATAAAGTAATTGTGTCACAAAAAATGTTTGGGCACAAATTTAACAACCAGCCCCTTTCCAATGTCATGTAAAAGAAGTGCAAAGAGTGGATTAAGTATCTACAAACCTATGATTGGTTTGAATGGCTGTTTGTCTGTAACTGGTATTCTGCAAGTGGGACACATGTTTGATTTGCTGATTTCAAGCCACTGCGACATACAGTTTGCACAAAAAACGTGCTGATTAGCACAAATCACAGGATCTTTTACCTTACAAAAAAAGATAAAAAATAGAATGAATTTTTTAAAGCAACTTAACGAATTGGAACTGTCTTTTTTGGTTATCAAATTAGGGTTGTATGGAAGATATTCTGACAATCTACATTTTAATTTTTCATTTATATTACAGCAAAAAATCTTTATCTTCTACTTCATTTTGATTTTTGATTTTCAATAGCAGAAGAAAACCATAAAGTAAAAGTTGCTGAATTTTACACTTTTGTGAAGATATCACTTATTTTGTGAAGGCTTTAGGGAAAAACTTTAGCCAATAGTAACATGACTTTTCAAAGGTTATTCCTGGTGCCTATTTTAGTAGAGAAACAAAATATGCTTCTCAGCCCTAAAAAATTGCAGCAAGTAATTTTTGTGACCCTGATGGTGCCAAAATAGCATTGGTTTTCTCAGAGCACTGGATTTCATTATGTGCATGTTGAGAAATTGAGGAAGCCATGATATTTAGCATGAAGCTTCTTTTGTCAGTGGACCGAGAATTGCTTGACTTGATTTTTCAGATGACCTATTTTGAAAACACAAAAAAATGAATTTCTGAATACAAGCTATCAGTAAAACTTGGAAACTTGGCACAGTATTGCTCTTAAGTTATTAAATATTGAAGTCTTCTAGGGATTTAAAAAATAGTTCACAAATAAACAAAAGAAGAGTAACACCCCCATTGATACACATCAGAAAGAGATCAATTAAGAACAGGATTTCATTTGCACAGTTGCCTCATATCAATATTCTACATGCATAAAGAGCCTCCAACAGCTGAATTATGTTTGACATCAACATTTATTCTACTTTTTACTTTCAATAAGATTTCAGGTTTTTCAATTATGAGAAAAGAGACAGAAGGCAAATTGACACAGCAAGGGGACAAAGCCACACCATTTTGCCACATGGTCTGCAGGTTAATGTCAGCTACAATCTGCCACTATGACCTGGCTTCAAAATAAATCTTGTCTTCATCTTGGCTGTGAAGGGAAGACAGAGGTGACAGCTTGCCTATAGCTTCTAGGACCAAAACATTACTTTGCTGAAAATAACAAAAAACCATTCCATCACTGCCTGTTCTATACTTAAATCTGACTTATGAAATAGCTTATTTGAAATTGTTTTAACTTGTACTTGAGATTTTAATCTACCATGGTATTTCCATAAATTAGTTTGAAGGAACAAAATTTCAAAAATAGAAAAAAAGCTTCAAATTCTTTCAGCAAGACTATTAGAAGCCATAATGGAATAAATTGTTTCTAGACTGTACACTACCAGGACAAAAGTATTGCAACATCTGCGAAGTCGATCAATGGCAGATCACACAATAACTTTAGTTGTTGTCTGGTTGTGCACAAATAGAACTGCAAATTCAATAAAGCATAAATTTGAATAATACCATTTTCATTTTTCAAAGTTTTAAATCAACCATTCAAGTAGTTTAAATTAAACAAACATTTTGTGGAGGTGCTCCTGGCTCTGATAAGTGAGGAAAATTGCTTTGGAATTGATGAACAAAATTTGTTGATAAAATGCACTGGGATTCCCCTTCATTCTCCATAAACTCTCTAAGTCAGTTCTTGTTTGGACCTTAAAGAGCCTCATGGATTTCAAATTAGATCATTTTCATTGGCAACAAGTAATTTTCGCTTATTTTAAGGTTAGGTCTTTGTGATGGTCAAGGGAACATTGAGTTTGCAGACTTTCAGGTAAATTTGAGTAAAAACGGCCTTGTAAGAAGAATGTATTGCTTTTTATGAAAAAGACTGCCTTCCTCATTTTCCTAGCATTGATTTGATTCCACCAAAGAGACTGTTTTGCATTATTTTAACATATTTCACTGCATTAACTCGCATGTTGCTAGCTGATAATTGACCAATTTATATGGGCCCTAACTATACCAAAAAAATTACCCAAGTTGAGTTGGAAAATGTAGGGGCTAAAGAAGTCGGGAATATTATCTTTTTTGCCATTTCCTTAACTCTCACTATTTTGCTATCATTTTCTATAAAAAGTTTTGAAATCTCTAGAATCGAAACACCATTTACACTAAGTTTTATCACAACTATTCGCTCCTTATCTTGCTTATATTTTGATTTTACTATTGTAGATTTTTTTTTCTTTAAATTGTAAAATTTCTTACACTAATATTGTTGTTCTAAATCCTCAATGAATATCAAAGAATTTGATTCCTGGTTAAGCGCCTTTATGTTTATTTTTGAAGGGAATATTTCAATGTAAAAACATAAGTTTGCAAAACTTCAAATTTTTTTGGATGCCATTTTGATTTGGGTATTGCAATACTTTTGTCCTGGTAGCATATATTTTGCATCTCAAAGAAACAAAAGAAGATAGATAAAGGAAGAGATGGATGCTTTGGACATTGCCGCTATTAGTCTGAAGTGACAGTTGAGTTACTCAATGTTATGAGTAAAAAATCAGTGTTTCTCCAAAGATAGCAAGGCTAAAATAGGGTTGTAAACTAAACTAAACTGCTATTTTGCAATAAACCAAAACTCATGTTATTGTTTTTGATGCTAGATTAGTTACACTTTGATAGTTAATTTTTTAGAATAACATAATTTACTTTCATTTTAAGCTTGAAAGAAGTTTACATCAGTGCTATAAAAGCGTTTATGTATGGAATAGCTGTATTACAAGAAGAAAGACATGGCTTGTACCCATTAATATTTTGCAATTTTTGAAGGGACAAGCTAGCCTGCATCGCAAACCATATTCTGAATATGGTCTGTGGCGCAAGCTAGTGATAACCACATTCTAGATGGCACAAGATGCAAACAAGATGAAGAACAAAGACACCTGGTCTCCTACTTTTTCTGTAAGTAAAAATTACCACTAAAAAGGCCACTTTTCGTAACTAGGTTATGTTTTTCTTGTATTGAAAAAATATTTAAAAACATTTTGAAAAAAGGACAACTTGTGCTTAGTAAAGTTTTTTTTAACAAGGACATTATCTAACTAAAAAATAGAGAATTGACACAATAACATCCTTCGGGAAACAATCAAAGGGTGATAATGGTGTGACGCCCTCCTCCGAGGAATTTGATGAAATTTGAAAGGACATGGCATTTGAAGACCTATTGCTTGGTAAAATTGCTTTCTCAAAAAGAAGATGCTGCATGAGCTGCAAATGCTTGTGACTACTGCATGATTGTGAATAACTGATGTCAGCAGTGATTCATCAAAGGGGGTTAACATCATTCATATGTCTTCAGGTCTTGATAAGCTCTCACAGTGGCTTTTTATGCAATAAACAATCATCTCATTATATACTTTCCAACAGCTAGTCTTATGGGTCCAAAACAGTCAGCCTAGACCATTCACAAAACTCTTAGCAGCAGTGTTTGCATTGGCTCTATTTCCAGTTTTATCTTAAAAATGGTTTTCAGTTGTTTCAAAGTGCCTGATCCTTAGAAATTTTTCCAGGGACAAGCCCCAGCTGGTCTTCAAGAGGGTGAATTTTTTAGAACTATATGCAATATCAACACAAATTTCTTTAAAAAAAGTTTAGAATTAGCACAGCAGTTTTTAAAATTTTGGCTGATTTTGAGGCAAATGTTTTTTAAGGTTTCTTAACCAAGTAGTATAGCACCACATTTTAGAAACACTAAACATGAAACAAACATAAGGCTGATATGAAATAGGACACTTGAAAATCTGTTTTTTTTTATAATCTATTGCAATAAAAAAAGAAATTGGTGTCCTATTATGAAAAGAATCATTTCTATTCTATCTAGAACAAAATTGGACTTAAGGAAGGTTGTGGTACTAATCTCCATAATAACCACCAAACTGTATATTTTTCCTATTTATCTTTCTGAATAGTAAGCAATAGATGCCCAGACCTATTCAGGCTCACAGATTTGAGAAATAATGAACAATAGAAAGTTTGGATAAGACAACTAATTAGATAAAACAACAGCTATCACATATTTAGGCCCAGGGTGCATTCCATATCAACTGTACGCCGAAGGTCCACCAGGGAATTTGTTTACGTACACCGAAAACATAAAAGCAGTTAGTAAAACAATTTGAACATTGTTGCACCAGACAAAGAAAACTGATTATTAAAGAAAACTGTGTGTGCCTTTATTTTACCTCAACTGTACATGGCTTTATGTTTAGCATGCCAACTAACAAAAATTTTAAGGTTTTTTTATTGGCTTGCAGGCCAAACACCAAAAAAACTGGGTGTACGCTGAAGATCTTTGGGCCTATATACATGGAAGGGGATTTTGTAATGACCAAGATCATTAACATACACTTTTAATTTGTCCCAAGAGTCTCCAATACAATAGTTAATATATAAATATTCCAATTCATGTTGTTCAAGCATTCAAATTTTCAGCTTGATGCAAACTGTCCCTTTGAGGAGTGAACATGCCATACCTGAAAATTCTTCACCTGGCCTAAAATATACAGCTATATTTTGTAATCTAATAAGCAGGTGCCAAATTAACTTTTTTTACAATTTTGGTCAATGAGATACAAGGGTAAACATGTAGCACCCTAAGTGGTTTGCTGCTCCTAAAAATGAATGTCCACCAAATGTTAATGCACCACGAGTGAGTTATGTCTTTTAGGGCTTTTTGTCACTTACTTAAAACAGACCCAATATTGCCTAAATCAATCTACTGCTGTTCAAAGGACCTATCAAAACCATAGCTATAATATGCCTTCCAATAAGGACTTATTTTCTTCACCTAACCCATTCATAGCGGTTTTAAATGAGATCTCCTTTTTGGCAGACATAAGCATACGACAACCAAGGACATAATTTGATTGAGAATAGTTAAAAAGACACATCAAATATGAGATGAACCATGATACAGTATTCCAGTATTAGCAGTTTTGAGACCTCTTTGTGCAGATTAATTTCAAGATTCGCTTCTCGCTGACATGCAATGTCAAAGAAGCAACAAACGGTAAGTTGAAGTTGTATATTGTGCTGCCACAAATTGGAGGATACATCGCTGGCCATCTATGAATGAACTACTTCATTTTAAGACAGATAAACAAATGAAGTTAAGAGTACCTTTCCGAGGCAAACTTGGCATGACAACGGTAGGGTAAGATGAACCGATGAAACTTTTGGAATTGTAGGTACCGCACTACTCATCGCGCTTGATTCCATGTTTTCAATTCAGGTTGGGGATCAGTGTCACGTGACATATGTGCAGGTGACCTCTTTTCGCAATGAATGTGACCTCGTGCTGAACGGCGTGGTGACATTGGTCTGGATCCTTTGTGATCATGGTCTTCTCATTTGTGTTCCTGACAGCTTCAGGACAAGGGGTGAAAAAACATTTAGAAAAACGAGGCTCAGGCAAAAAATGAATTCATGAGTGGTGTAAGTTTTCTACTTGCGATATTCTGTACGACTATCAAACAGCAATTGTAACCCTGTTTTCAGACTACACTGCGAACAGGAAAATGCTTTTCTCGAAAGTTTGGAAGGGAGTTTTGCTGTGTGGAACTTTAGAAGCCACACCAAAGATCAAACACATCAAACCATGCTCGCACCCTGTATATGTGTGGGTAGGGGTGTTTGGGGATGACAGTATTGCGGTATTTACCTTTTTCTCGTCGGAAATTCGGTAATCTTCCTAAAATTGGGCGGTATTTCGGTAATGAGGAAAATCGGCGGTGAACGGGTTTTTTGTGAATCCAATGACCAGTGTGCGGTATTGGCCAGTTCTGAATTAAAAATATAGCAGTTTAATTAGAAATGTGGGCGAAATGCTAGCGGTGATATCTTGTTGTATTCATGTTGTAACCTTCGTGATCTTTTGCCGAAAATTATCAATTTTTTTATTCTCTCCATTTTAAATGGCGTTACCCTTGGTTGAAAAATTCTCCAATGAACATGACTTAATATCGGAATTTTCATAATTACTTTTTCCTCCTTGTTTTCCATTCAATCTAAAATGACGCTTGAGCCAGCAGGGTCATATGTTTTCATTTTTGCTTTTCAAGAACAGTACGGTATTAATAAAATACAACCGTGTTGAGCTTTTTTAACACAGAAAGGTTGTTGTTTCTTCCCCAAATATGTATATGAAGGATTGCCAAACTTAGAACTTTGTGGTATAGGATTTGCTCCAAACTAAGCCCAAGCCCCCTTTCTTCACTATGGTGCTGCTGCTAATTCCTTCTGTTTTATATAAAGCCATCAGCATAGCACAACAGCACTTTTTGATTTGGAATTAAAAGCGTTCAACTGCCTAAAGAGCCCAGGGTACTGGAGTCCAAGGTTTGCTTCAAAAAAATTGTATTACGTCACGAATGGAAGAATTAGATTTTGGTGCTCCACATGGATCCTTTCTTGGATTACTCGTATTAATAATTGGTATAAACGAGTAAAGCACATTTTAAGACAAGGGTATTTTCTATTGTAGGTATGAGCTAGATAAACTTTAAAGGGCTCTATTTCCTTTACAATCTTTCAGTTACCACTTTCAGTAACATATTTCCATTAAAAATAACACCTGAATAGGCAGGGAGGCGCAGTCAAAAAATTAACTTTTTGTACGGGGCCTTTTCAGTATTAGTGCAAAGATATGATGGGAGATCTGGAAATAACGAGCCGTCGAGGATTACATTAATTTTTGAGAGATTATCTGATCTTTCGGCTGCCCCCCAAACCTAAGTAGCATAAGTAAACTACTTTAATTTAGTAAAATATGGCTGTTGTTTCACTTATTGTTTCACGGTTGGCCCCCCCAAACAAAAAGTTACATCTCAGTCTTTGACAGGCCTCCTTCCCCTAGAGCTACAGCCCTAAAATTCATATGAAAAGTGTGATTCCACATCCAGTAAGAAAATATGCTATCATAAATAAATTTAGTGAATCTGCAAACACTAAACTGTTTCGCAACCGAGGAAGCAACCAAAGTTCAAAGCACTAAATGAAAAACTAGTTGTTTCCATCAAGAAGACCCCAAAAGGGTAAATTGTCAGAGTGAAAAGTCAGCTAAATATGATGAAATTCTTAGAGAATTGATGTTAGAAAGATTAAAGGAAAAGGGTCCTGCACAAGCTTCATATTTCGTGTGCGCGTGAGTTTTGCATATATTATAAACTCTCCGCTGATACATGGGCATATATTTCGTGCTTGAATCTAGACTGTTTTCCCAGAAATTACTTGAAACTTAAATTATAGTTCAAACTGCAATGTATTCGGTAATTTTCGTTTTGAAAACTCGGTATTACGGTAATATCAAAATATTCTTGCGGAATTACGGTAATAGGGGAATTTTCTAGCGGAAACACGGTATTTGATACCCCCAAAGACCCCCTTCTTCGTTTGTGAGTTAAGAAATATTTCCTAAAAGAGCATTATGAAATACTTCTAAATGTGCAAAATCAGTTCAATGTGTTACAAATTGGCTGAGATATGACCACATATGCACATGATCTTTCCCTATCAAACCTCTGTAATTTGGCCTATGTTCAAAACTCTATAAACCTCTGTAATCCGGTAGCAAACATCAAATCTTTCATTGGCTATAGCTCACCCAATTTTGAACAGAGGTATTTTATGCTGTTCTTTAAGATTATGTGGCCAAAATTAAGAAATTTTAAAAATATTTCGATTGCCATGCTTCACCGAAAATAAATCCCACCAAAATTGTTGGTACCTAATGTACGCTGGCTTGTCAAAGGAACTGAGCCCCCCAAAATCCCTCTTTATTTTAACAAGAGAGGCACCACTGGCTGCGAATTTATCAGGTGATCAACCTTTTGGCGTGCAGCCAGAGGCACACATGGGAGTATAACACCCCTAAAGTTTTGCCAGCCTGACAATTGTTTAGATATCTTAGTTAAAAAAATGAGTTTTGTGAACAATTTTTTTGCGGTACAGAATTTGATTATATATATTCGTAGTACCTAGATGGAAAATAATTTGACAAATTTCCCTTCAAATATGCAAAGAAGTTCACTTTGATCGGGTTATTTTAGAAAAGAACAGAAATCGAACACCACTCGTTGCTAAAACAGGCTAGCGTCCCAAGGCCAATATTTCGTCGTCGAGTATGCGCAAAAATACTGAACGAGCATTTGAGAGGGAAGCAGTGCCTAATTAAGAAAGACCTTATTAAGAAAAAAATCGAACACGCTGGGCAAAGAGAAATCTCTGATAAGTAATTCCTTGTTCTGAAATAATTTAGTACTATATGTGCTACCGGGTATTCGCACTTTATGTACATAAGCATTGACAGCAAATCTAAGCAAACCTATATCAAAACTATAAAATTATAAATGGGTTTTGTCTCGGTGTGGATTTGGCATAAATATCCAGATTGCAGCATCAAAGAAGGATATCTGAGAGCCTGTTTACACTGGTACAGATCCGAAAAGCTAGAGATCCATATTAAATCCTTACTGATTGTTGTTGGAGTTTACACTATAACACTGATGGGGAAGGGGTTTGCTGCATCTATTCCTCGTCTGAAGGGTCGTTGTTTCAATATTATGAAATTAATTTGATATATTATTCATAGACAATATTTATTATTGTCATAAAAAACCTTTTTTATAATTTGTAAGAGTAACATTTTCTGTTTACAACATCTTAAACGATATTTGATTTTTGCGTTGATAACGAAGCGTAAAAAACACTGAAACCAACCGCGAAACCCTGATTGGACCCGTACCCGCATGGATTTGTACCAGCCGTCTACACTGACGCTACCTCAACTGGAACGGATCCAAATGGGTACATCAGAAGGATCAAAAACTCGTGCAAATAGAAGATCCATAATAGAAACGGATCCCGCAGGTATTGTATAAACGGAAAATTATCCGTTTGGACCCGTACCAGTGTAAAGAGTATTTCAGATTCTGACACCACCTCTGTCTATACCTTCCTAAGAGTAAATGTATCGCAAACAACTTTGCCTCTACTAAAATCAAACCTTGTAATTGGATTGTTGCATGTTACAAAACAGAGAATTATCATTGCATCAATGTTTATCTTCAACCGACTCAACACAAACACCAAAAGAGGCAATGCTCTATATCTTCTTCATTTTCACACCATGAGCTCGTTTAATCATAGCAAAAATATTTTGTGAATTCACATTGGGAACTGCAAAGGACATTCCAATAAAAAGCTCACTACAGCCGAGGTGAATAACAACAGAACAGATCATTTTGTGACGTCACATGTTGTATGGGAGTGCATATGCAATGTTAAGCGAATAGAAAGCTATTTCTTATGCTAGAAGACATAAATTAGGATTTAAAAATAGAACTAGTTAAAATCCATGTGCGGCAGCGGCTCTCTTGTTTTCTCTTCCCTTGCTTCTGTTTTTTGTTCTTTCTTTTTCAGCAGCAGCATTCTGTAGCATCTAAAAATAATTTCATTGGGATTTTCAACTTAAAAAAGGTATGCTTCAGATTCCACTTCCAAAATGGCATTTTCAATCGAAAGTCTAGGTTGAGAATCTTTCGAGAGATATCGAACCTTAAGTCATGGATTCAATCTTTCCTACAACAGCCAACTCCTATGAAGACTAATGATTCAGTTAATCCAGGTTCTTATAAAATTTTCCTTTAGAGAATCATAACCACCTTAAATAAGAGTTCACGAATACTGTAAGGCAAGTCAGGAAAAATAAGGTTTTTCCGATCGTTGTGAATGCTTCAGTTTACCTTTCCCCAGCGATCTTCTTTAGATACTACTTCTCGGTTTATCAACGGAGCGCCAAGGCCAAATATTTCTCGCAGTAATACATTCTCCTACAATCAAAACATAACAAATTCAGGCATCTTGTGAAGCAACATTAAGCACCAATACCTCACACGCCTAGTATTAATTAACATGCTTTTACACAAGAGGACGGTCTTGCGCAACATCTAAATATCACTGCTTCTGCAACTATTTTGAAGTACTTGAAACTTCCATAGAATCAGCGGCGTGAATTTATGACCACTGGACAACAGAGGGTCAAAGATAAAGCAATTAACGACCGACCTATTTCTTTTATAAATGAAATAACAAATCTATAAAAAATTTATTCGCCATTTGAAATTGCAAAATACTTTGTCTCATAAATTTACTGTTTAAAAGAAACGCCTAGAACTAGACAACTGAGACTGCCCGGTCAGTCAAAAGTATCGTAATTCGTTCCTTTAGTCAGAGATGTCCTTTTAAGGAAAAAAGTGTATCTTCCTTTATATAAGTAAAGAGCCTGTACAGATTCTGCCTTCTTTGCCGAACCTTGTCACACGTGAAAAACACAAAAGACAAATCCCTGGACCAGTTTAATAATGATACATTTCAAACATAAGTGCCAACTTTCTCTATCACTTTAGGTTGTCTATTTCAATCATTGATACATCAATATACCTTGTCAATAGATTACTGTAAGGTCGTCAAACTATTTCAATCAGACAACCAACAATACATAACACCGACTTTGGAATCCCCATAAATAGGAAATTAATGGGGTCGAGCACGGTCTATGGTAAGCCTAAATAACCTAAATAAATATTTCCAGCATATGGGCAATTAATCTTTTTGCGGATTATATTTGTTCTCCTTTCTCCAACGATTATATCTTGATCGCCTTCGAACTTAACTAGCCTCTGATTGCAGGCAAATGCAAGATAACTTACATATTTAAACAGGGTACTTGCAAATAAAGAACATTTAATACCGAAACAAATGGAGGAATGCAACGCAAAATCAAAGATCTTTTGTGCGGACGACGAGGTACAAATGCTTGTCATTTGCAAGCACATCGCGTCTCTTCCCGGATTTTTGAAAAATCAACTTTTCTGAAGCATTTTATTTTCAAATTTCCAAATCTATTCATACTTATTGAAAACGGATGGCTGATGGAGCGACTATGACATGCAAGTTCGCAAAAACTTGGCTACCACAAATCCCATTAAGAAAAAGAAACAAAATATATCGGTCATGGTAAAGAAGCCGAGCTACAAAAGATTCACAAATAATTTACATGAAATAATAAATCCTGATTAGAGACAGTGCATAACGGACAAAACCTTAAGCTATTTACTGGTAAGCAACTGAGCATTGATAAACACGATTTGAAAATAAAGCTGAGAAGCAGGCCTTGGCAGGAAGATAGACTGTGACAGAGTGTGAAAATAAATTCGATGGATAGAAAGCAACAGTGAGCTTGTCCTCTCTGAAAGGTTCATATTAAAGTTGGATTTTCTGGGAATTAAGAAAGTCTCAAAAATTAAAGAATACTAATTCAATAAAGGCTGCCGACGAAAACCAGGAAACCTCAACAAAATAATCTAAGACAATTTAGGCGCAGTGATGTTGCAAAGGACAAAGAAAGCAAAGATTAAATAAAGTGTAGCAACTTGCCAAGTTGCGATTAAAGTTCTTAGTCGAAAACTAACAAATTAAAATTGATAAACGTTGCAATGGAAATAATAACACTCTTGTTTCAGTCAAAGACATGCACAGTACCTCAGGCACTGTCGTTCTACGGATGGTGGTAATTAGATTCTGTTTGGCAGAGGCTAAAAATAAAATGAATCCGGTGTAGCACTGAAAATGAATGACATTTTCGCAAACGGGGTGAGAAAGCCGCATCTAACAGCAGTGAATTAGACAGGCAAAGCAGATGACAATCTTCTCGTTAGATTCTGGTTAGATAGGATCAATTGATTTAGTATCACAGATGTTTTGATTTGTCCTCAACCGATGATTCTCCTTGCATACAGACAGGCAAACAAACGAAGAAGACCCGAGAAAATGTCAAACCGGAAACAAAACCAAAGGAAACATTTATTTACCCAATAGATGGTTACAAGATAAGAAGACGGAGATTTTCAATGCTCGCCTTCAGATAACTGACCTTGGAATTAAAGATAACTTAAAAAGATGCGCAAAAAGAAGTAAAGAAGGATGACCATAGAAGGAAAAAACTACCCATGGTTCTGGCCATGGCTCGATCGAGTTTATTATCAATGAAAACATGCAAGATTACATTGAAATTACTTCTCTGTAATTTTACAATTTCCTTCCGCTCTGTAGAGTTCTAAATTTTCTTTGATTTTTACTTCTGTCAACTAACAATAATCGAAATATGTCTCACAAACTAAAGAACGACGTTTTGCTAAATCGAAGTGTGAAATCATTTTGGGAATCCTTTTCACTTCAAATACTCGCCTAATTTAATGGGCAATGAAAATAAGCTTCCAACTTCGTGCCAAAAATCATCGTCTTATCAAAACTAGAGCAGGACAGACAGCGGCAACAATTTTTCAGCTTTTTCTGCATTTTATGTTGGCAAAAATAAAAAGTAGCAAAGCGTGTACATTTTCTGCCATTGACAATATACAATGTGAATGGAAACTGAACTATGTTTTGAGCTTATATTCTCATATCAATTGCTTCGGGTAAGGGAATTTTCATTAAAAATAGTAAACCCATGCTAGTTAATCACGGATATTGAAAACTGTTTACGCGAGACATCAAATGAGATTTTCCCGAAAGCTGCTTCAACCTACCTGTAAGTGAGTTGCAATTCCTGGTCCGAGAGAGTCCTTTAATGCATTGTACTGTCGTATTCTGTGAAAAAACACCATGTCAGGTTTTACAGCTAAACTTAAGGGAACTGCAAGTCTTGCATAAAAGTCTTTTACGAACAGTTACTGTGTAGTATAAAGAAATAAATCATAAACACGAATTATTATGACATGTTTTAAGAGAATCAATGGAAACAAATGCTTAATGAGGTCGAAAGTTTGACGAATTTCATCAGTAGAACTTGCAACAAAAGTTAAAATTTGGCAATTTCTGGCTCGGTGGTAGCAAGGATGATTAATATACAAAAAAGCAACAAGAGGAGAAAAAAGACTACTGGATAAAAAAACTGGATATATTATCTTACTATAATTTAAACTAATACTTGGTCATAGAGATGCACAGCAGCTTAGATTCCAGAATGTCAAGCTACTAAAACTGGCAACTAAAACTTTGCTCAATCATTTCCTCAAATGATAGAGAACAACCTAAAAGCTGTATTCACAGAAAACAGCTCTATTAGAAATGGTTAAACTTGAAGGGCTATGCAGACAATGAATACTTGAAATGAGAGGCGAATTGACGTTTACAAGAGAGGGAAAATAACTAGGTAGGATAGAAAAACACTTTACTTTGCTAGAAAGTGCGAGATAAAAAGGGAAACAGATTTTTACAGTTAGATATCTGACAATTTGAAAGAAACAAGACTGTGAGGAATGCGCAAAATCACTGTAATAAAAATAGTTTAATCTTTCAACTTGTTTATGTTTATATATTTAATCTCAATCGATCATGACAACAAGGATGTATAACAAGAAACATAAAATTTGACAGCGTGGTGCTTTTGCTTTCGTTTTCAATATGGCAACGAATTCAGACATGGCTCATTCGGCAATATAACATGCACAGTTCTCTGATATGGAAAGTGCGTTTCAATCTAAGGCAAAAGCTAAAAATGGTAAACTAGAATTTTTCAAAGAAATAAAGAATCTTTAAACATTCGGAAAGCTTATTATAAATAATGTTGCACGCCTTGCACAAAAACTGTTACCTAACCATGACCCGTCGCTACAAAGATGCCAATAGCGACAAGTAACATGACATGCTCGATTAAGTTGAATCAGAATCAGGCAAAAACAACACCAACGTCGTTGATATATATTATGCAAAGAGATGGTCTCTCTCGAACAAAGAAGCTTAATCCAATAAAGGCTGAATTTTAAATGCTAGTTTTTAAGTGATCTAAGTTTAATCAACTACTGAGATATCTAGTCACGGAAAGAAAAAAAAATTCTATAAAAATAATACTCTGAAAAAATACTCTGAAAACCAAACAGGAGAAAGGACGAGCCAAAAGTGTCATTGTAGAAACACGAAACAGCCTCTATCAATCATGATTACAAGGAACAAAAAAGAAGATCGGGTCTGTTGACTTGATCAAACTAAAAATGAGTTTTAGTGATTTGTGATGCCTGCTTCAAATTCGACATAGCTCACCTTGTCCAGCTGCTCAGTTCTATTTTCTCAATGCCAAACTTAACTTTTTCAGCAGGAGCCATCCCGGACTAGAAATAAAACGAGAATTTTGACATTAACATGAAGGCAGATCGTTAAATAAACACATTCGTTAACAAAGCTTCGCATGTTAGACTATAGTCGTGGTGGTGATTTCGGATGATTTCATATTGTTTTTAATGAAGCCTTCTCTTTCTGTTATCTTCCTATATACCTACAGCGGGGATGGCTCAGTGGCTAGTGTCATGAAATACGGATCCAAGGGTATGTGGTTGGAACCCCAAACATGACCAAACATGACCAAGCGTTCAACGAGTCGTCAGTTCTATTATTCCAGGCGGAGGTGTGGTCACATCGAGAGGAAGGGCCACGCCATTGCTCAATAAACACAGCTTCCCAATCTTTAAACTACCTTCGTTAGTAACAAATAAAAATAAAAAATTTGATTATGAAATATTTAATAATTTAAATGAACCAGCTGAAATTGGGAGAAAGTTCTACTTGTAACTTACTACAAATGTTAACAAGGTTAATTCTAATTGTATGTGAATGTTTTATCAATTGAGCTGCAACTCATCCGTATTGTTCAAAAATGAAAATGGATAGAAATTTAAGGGCCTTTCCAACTTTTATGGCTTTGAATCTTGATACAATAACTTGAAGCCCGTCTGGAAGCTCAATGACTGATGCAATCATTGTTTCTGTGATGTCAGTATTAATTATCGCCTCGAAATCCGGTTATCTGTAACAAGGCTCGCTTGGATCCAAGCATGGCGCCATGATAGGCGTTTTCGATCTAATCTTTGTCTGTGAAATCGTTGAATTTGATTTGATTTTTGCTACTGTTAAATTTCTCATGTGGGAGCAGCTGCCAGGTACCTTGGAATCAATGTTAGTTTTTTAAATGCAAAACAGATGGTTATTGCAATTGGCGCCTCTTTGCACAAGAAAAGCAAGCAAAATATGTGTTTCTATTCTATTTCATCACACCTGTTGCCAGCAATCAAGGGAAGAAAAACGACTCTAAAATTCTTGCATGTTTTTTAACTGATGCAGACGCCGAGATAAAACTGCGGTAGAAATATATGTACAATGGAAAACAAAATGCCGCCACCATTCTTGGTTTTAGCACGAGAAGATCATGTTTTCGTTTCACGAGGCAACCAATATGCGGCGTATCTACCAAATCAATAATCTGAAGATCTTAATCACTATAAAGAAAACAATTTACGTAAGCCAATTAAAAGCAAGAGATTGGATTTTCATTATTGCCTGAATAAGCCCTGAGGATTGTCACAACTGGAAGAGTGAAAGAAAAATGGCCAAACAGACGACGTACAACCAAACGCAGACACAAATTGCCACTCTATTTGAAACCATTTCAAAAGATAAATAATTATTGTTCAAGCTGTGATCTAACCAAAGTTTCAGCTTGTATGCAAATTGCGGGGGAAAGGCAAATCACGGCAAGAAAGAAAATACGTTAATTGGTGTTAACAAGTTCTCCTACAAACAGATGATTCTCTGAGGTAGAAAATTTCCTTGGTAGCTCAATTTGAAATCGTCTTTATTGTTTACAAGCTATGGCAGAAACAGACTTAGAATACACACCAGAAATTATCTAAAACATTTTCAAATGGCTTTGAAAAAAGCAAACATTTAGTAAACTAAAGCTTTTCGTCTGACACTCTTCAGAGCTTAAAACGTCAGAACATAGATCGAAAGCTCTACGCTAGGAAATATATATACCCAGTTGTTGATCGAAATAGGCCAATCAGAAAACACGAGCACATGACTGTATAGGTTGACCAATCAGTGCCACTTGCCTATTGAGAATGTTACCAATGGAGTAAAACATTTTCATTGCAAAATTATGGTCGTTTTGCTAATAACCAGGGAAACATGGCTTCTGCATTAGAGAACAAGACGACCCGAAGAAGATTTTTAAATCCATGACTTTATAATATGAGACGGAAGCGATAAAACGAGAACTGCAGTAATAGCCTAATCAGCAAACCAACGGGGATCATTGGTAAACCGTTGTGAATTGTATGCAAATGCCTGAAAACATACCTCCACTGTCTTCAAGACATCGCGAAAAGTCGACCTTTGCTGTCTCTTTTCTCTCTTGGCCTTGTACTTACTGCTATCAGTTGCCAGCTCTTTTAACAGGTCATACAAACCATCAACATACATGTCAAACGTCTCGTCTAGCTCACGCCCTAGTTCATAGATTAAGGCTATCACCTCTCCTGTGGCTAGTCTCAGGCCGAGCTTACCGTTTTCCAGAAGGCGGTACAGCTTTTCTAGATTCCTAGAGAATACAAGTAGAAATAACTCTTTTGGGAAGATCAAATTTTTTAGAAGAAATGATTCTATAAAATGACATATCAAATATTACTCAGGGAATTAGCGATAGACTTTGATAAGAATAACCAGAAAAAAAGAATTATGCCAGCAACTTCTATAGTTTGGTGTGGAAAATATGAAAAGATCAACAGAAACTTCATACCACAAAAACAGAACAGTCAACAAATCAGTATAAAGTAGAAGTCACATAAAATGTGATTTCAATTCGTCGAATGTAACGCCTTTATTGTTATTAGTCATTGTTAGTTCTTCGATTTAAGGCTGGCAAATAAATTATAGCCTGAATGTTGATTATGGCCAATGTTTCCTAATATTATGGTACAATAGGTGTTTATGGTACGTCTTTTTTTACAATTACAATACTACTTCTGAGCGTATTTTAACAAAAGGTAATGCCCCTACGTGACAACATAATAAAGCTATCAAAAATGAGATTACGAAAAAAATGAACCTAAAACTGCAAATACCATAAAAAAGCTCGATGTAAAAACTAGAAAGGGAAAAAATTTTTAACCCGTGTAATAACTACCAAAATCAAATAATTGATAAAACAAAATGTGCACACTTTCGTTGAAACAAAAACGTCTTGATTTATCAAACCACAAAAACTTAAATTTGCCACAGGACCACGTAGCTCATTTAAGGAGCATTATAATAAACATATATAACAATTTACAAAAGCGTACTCTACTTTAATGGCTGATGAAGAAATGTATGAGAAGAACCTTTTTGTTTCTTTCACAAATTTTCCAACAGCGATTGTGGAACTATCACTAAAAGATAGCAAAACGCTACCGTTTGGCAAAATAACAACTTTTTCAGTCATACTTGATGATGTGCAAACAATGAAAGCATTGTGGCTGATAAAAAATTTCATGAATTAGCAAAAACCTACTCTTCTATTGCTTCGTTCTGTGCAGCGTTTGAAGCGACTGTTAAAAGTAAACCCCAAGACAACACTGATGAGCTCATCAGGCCTTCGTCGGTTGCTATCTCCTTAGCTTTCTTTGAGAAGACGTTTCTCAGAACGTTCATACAGTCAGTCACTTCCTGCAAAATGCGATGCAAGTCACAATCGAGGCATTATCAGCACACGTTAAGCAAAATAAGATGACATAGATATATCGTTTAGCTATGACAGGGAATGTTTTTAATGTGCAACTACAATTAGAAATGAGATTAAACAGCTTTCTTTTGAGACCTTGCAAAAGATCACATGAACTCAGTTCTCTATCACGATCTCGTTTGTTCGTGAGAAGCAATTTTGAATTTTTTATATTTTACACGACCTTTTATATTTAGAGACCGGTCTTTTAGCAATGTATGACAGAAATGACTTAAATAATAAGAGCGATCAGTGACAGAATTGTGCACTTTAGGACAACTCTAAGCACAAGTGCTATCTCATTTTTGTCTTTTCAATGACAACGTTGGTAGATACGCCTGCAAACTATAGACACTATTAACCAACTATAGACTGCTAAATTTCTACTTCCCATTCTCAAATAGATATTGGATATTTTCTATGGCAGGTATTTTATACACTCAGACCTTGATATATTCTATTCACGTGATCGATTTCATATGAATTTCATGTTCAACATTTATACATGGTGGCACCTCGGATCTAATGCATGTTTTCCAGGGGGGGGGGCCATGTTTAAAAGTTACATAAATACTACTTGCAAATAAACTAAACCAAACTAAATCAATTCAATCAATGTCTTAAACGACAATATAACAATGTAAACTATATGTTTCTAAAGCATAAAAATTTTTAATCTTGGAGGCCTTAAGTTCAAACTAGAGTTTTGTAAAGTTTTATTCGATTTAACAATTTTCTGGTTCTTATCTTGATTTAACAAGCAAATCTCATTTCGCTTTGCTCTCCTTTTGGGACTACCAAACAGTTTTCCTAAGAGCAGGGGTGCCTTACATTCCATCAATAATTACCTCCAATGATTAATTGATTAATTAAATCCAAACCTTTGCACCTTCAAACAGGATCGAAGTTAATAGAATCTTGGTAATAAATTGGCTTATCTTGATAATCTAATCACCTTTTGTTTGTAAGACTGGCAGTGGCCGAGACTCATTTTATAACTAGAGCATACGGCACTGACAATGAAAAGACAGACAGAGCAAAATACACACCCCTAACTCTTCTGAACCAATGAAGCAGCACATTCCCAGAGCCAATGCACACTAAAACAATGAAAATTATTTTCATGAATCTCAATAAAACGACTGTTGCTGCCTTTTGACGTTAATCATAGCAAGGTTAAGAAATGCCCCTTACACGCTATGCCAGATTCAGTTCGTATCTGATTCATAAACCGACTTTCTCTTTTACCATATACTTACAATACAGAAATCAATCAAGAAATTAGCTTTAGTTTATGTTCAGAGAAAGATATAATCAAATGTAGAGATATCGGACGATCAGATGCATAATGGTTCTTACGCTTGATCTTGCAGAAAATGACTGCGCAGTGTCATTAATAACTGTTACCAGCAGTGGCTTCAGCGTCCTGTAAACGTTCAAGGAATTAGCGGCCCCGAGCTGCAAACACAGAAGACTTCCAAGATTGGCAACTGCCGCTTTGTCAGCAGTTTGACCTGCCAGAGAGGAAAACAAGAAAAATTGTATTATTGTACAACCTGGCGTGTTTCTAATTGGAAAGAAATCATTGAATTCCTTTTTTAAAAACAACTTTTAAGAGAAACTTTTCCTGGAAAATTTTACCAAGTTATCGAGAGGTTTTGAACTGAAATGAAGAAAATTGAATGATGTAAAACTAAAGGGAAAATATTGTCTTGGTATCACGAAATCAACAAACATGCTATATCAAAGACGTCACCTCTTTTGAGCAACCTTTCAACAACATCGAGCAACGTATCTTTCCTTCAAGATAAAGCAATTTTGTTACCATTAGAAAGAAGTACTTAGCAGTATCAAGCAAAAATGCACCGCAATAACTGATAAGGTCAATCGTGTGCATGTTCATAGATGCAATACCCATTATATGTATGATACCTGGCAAATATATTTTATACTTTACAAATGTATATTTTTACTGAAGAACAATAAATGATTGGTTTGAAAGATTCACGCACATGAAAATTGAAAAAGCTTAATTTTAGCTGATAAATTCCCAGTAAATATGGACAGAACCAGAAATGGAGAATTTCAGATGGTTCTATATAAAGAATCTCTACATCATTACGTACCTGCCATCAATAAATTCAGGAGTATATTTCCGACACAGACATCTTTTTACCTCTTTAATTGAAGACTGCCTTTCTTTTGCACTAGACATAATAGAAAGAAATATTAAAAGCATATATGAAGTCCTCTTTAACGCTGCATCATAGAAATTAACAGCGTAATTGCAACCCTCAAAATTCGAATTTTTCTTTGCTTTAGAGTGAAATCTAAAGTCTTGAATGAGAAATAAAACAGACAAATAAAAAACCAAACTTTTAGAATTAAAAATCATCAAACTTGCCAACAAACAGAAACCTTAAATCGATGTAGCCCTTACTAGGATCGTAAGACGTCAAACTTGCTGAACCTTCCATCCTTACCTAAGCACTATCTTGATATCACAAAGAGAAACTCATAGAGTCACATATATACTTCGCCGATCAAGTTCCGACATAACAAGACGAAAAATTTATACCAATATGCGGATCGAAATAGGCCAATCAGAAAACGCGAGCACACGACCGGTATAGTTGTCCATTCAGTACCACGTACCTATAGAAAACTCCGAAGTTGTTTACTTAGGTGTGAAAAAATCTGATTTGTAGAAAGTTCCCTTTTTATTTCTGCTGATTTTTCTATAAAATACCAAAGTTCAAACAATCTCTGGCTGAGATTTAGCAAAAAATGACCCCTCATTTAATTCCTTTGTTCCTGTGCAATGAGTTCCCTGTTTTATTTTGAGGTTTATTCGAGCTATTTGAACATAGATCCTATATCTAAAACTTATCCGCCGTTACCAGCAGGGCCTCTTTTAACATTGCAACTAGTGGGGTTTCTGCCCCAGTAGGCCCTTCATCTGGCCCAGTAGTGAAGCAAAAAAATCTAATTTTGCCCCAGTAGTTAGGGGCCCTTTTCACATTATGTACCATGATTTGTTTTGTTGTTTTCATTTCCATTGTTCTTTCAACTTTGTGCAAGGGTCTGCGACTGGGACAAGTTTCTCCCGTCTCTTCTCTCGAAGCTTTGACTGCCCTCAAGAGCCTCAGTTTCGCCTTTTGATCTCGATTACCAGGAATTGGTCAATTCAATTCAATCTGCGAGCCTGGTACACATGCCACTCAAGCACGTGCTTTTAATATTTTTATTTTCGATCTACCTATCTCAAATGACCTATATCTAATCTCGTAATTTCAAAATGAAGAAAAAAGAGAAGAGTGGACACCAAAAGCGACTCGAAAGCAAGAAAAGAGCTTTGAAGGAATGTGCCTCAGCTGTGGGTCAGAAGTCGATTTTCTCAATGTTTGGAAAGAAGGATAGCGACACTGTTCAGGTTGAAAATACAGCAGAAGTACTAGAGGAAGGCCTACTACATGATGAATCCTCGCCACCCCCCAGCAAAGTGGCAAAGAGTGACACTACAAATGTTACAACTGAAAATGCAAAACAACAAGATGAATTTGGAACTCACTGGTACAAAGGAAAGAAATTAGACTTAAACTGGCTTATTATGTCTGAGAGCTGTCTTGAAGTTAGATATGAAAGAAAAGACAAAAGGCGAAGGCCTATCATGAAATGCCTTGTTTGTAACCAGCTTGAAATGCATGTTAAAAGGTTCACCGTCAATGGTCGAATACCTGTGGCTCAAGGAATTCGTGTTGATGGTAAGGACAGGCTTCGTTTGATAGTTGACCATTTATGTTCTGCTGCCCATGAAGAGGCATTACGACTCAAAAAGCTTGATGATATGTCAGATGCCCATCCCTGGGTACGAATAGTGAAGAAATGTAAAGCTGAGACCTTACAATTGCTTCTAAAACTTGCAGTTGATGTATACAATGACTGCAGAGTAGAAACTGTCAGTGCATGGAGCTGGGCATCAAGATCTTTGTCTGGTGATCATAGCAACAATTTGTTGCACATATTTAGAGATAATGGATGGGATGCTGATTTTGTTCCTTACAATCAACCAGGCTCTGCCTACCATTACAGAGACCCTATGACATATGCTGAAATGAGAAAAATTATCAGTGAACATGAAATGAAAAAAGTAGCAGATTTGTTAAAAGAATGTGTCTGCTATTCAGTACAAATTGATGGCAGTTCAGACAAACAACAAGTGGATTCCAAATTCATCACTGCAAGATTTCTCCCACAAAATGAAGTTTCTGTGAAAACTGTATTTCTGGGTATTTCAAGTAGTGACCTTGGGGGTGCAGATGGTTTGCTTGATGCACTTACCACTTGTTTAAAGAGTGTGGGAGTTGATACAGAGAAACTTGTTGGAATAACTACAGACGGTGAAAATGCCAACACTGGTAAGAATGGTGGACTCTGGAAACTTCTAAAGGATTACACTGGAAAAGAATTGCTCACTGCATGGTGCATATGCCATCGCTCTGATTTGGCTTTGGAGTCTGTACAGTCTGAAGTTCCTGAATTGTCATTGTGGATGACCAATGTACTTGCTGTTTCCAAATTTTTCAGACAATCACCTCGCAGAGTAAAGTACCTTCACAAAGAAGATCCCAAATGTCTGACATTTCCTAAGCACTTTGAAGTGCGATTTGCTGAGCACACTTTGAATGTGCTGAAGGCAGTGCTAAATAATCTTGAAGCAGCAAAGCAAGTGTGGACAAAGATGTGTTCTGGTGAAATTCACGCTGAAAAAATTGAAAAAAGAATGGCTCAAGGCTTTTTAGATAAATGGAAACATGATGGTCAACAGTTTTGGTTAACAACTTTGATGTTTGATTTGTGCAAAATATTTAAGAATCTCCAGAAAATTTTTCAAAAGTCACACCTAATTTTGTTGGATATTATAACTGCAAGAGATGCTGCAGTTGAGAATCTCAAAGTAATGAATGAAATACCAATACCAGGTGGGAGAGAGGAGAAATGTCGTGGAAACTTTGAAGAAGTTTCTTCTCCAACTAATTCAAGACAGAAAAGAAACATAATGAACAAATATGTGACAACAACACACAGGAATGACATGGCAGTGAGAACAGAGATTGTCCAATCAGCAATAAATTTTTTAGATGAGAGAATGAACCTTGAAAATGATGGAACTTTAAAAAATTTGATGAAAATTTTAGATGCCAAATCATCTACAGAGCTCATCACAGCAAGCAGAGATTTAGCCAGTCAACTATTTGGCCCAGAAAAGATTGAAGATTTTGTCTCTGACACATGTATGTCATGGAGGAAGATAGTTGCCATTGAAGATCCTGCTATTGAAGACAATGGCACATTTTACGCATTGAAATTAAGAAAAATGGTGCAAGCAAGCTGTGGTCTTTTGAAAACATTTCTAGCATCGTATTTAACCTTAACCCCACATAGCATGGGGACTGAAAGAACAGTCTCTCATTACAACAATATCAAGACCTCAAACAGAGCTTCACTTAGCCAACAGTCAATAAACAGCATTATGCACATCTCCTTAAATGGTAAAGGAACAGCCTTTTATGATCCAAGAAATGCAGTTGCTGAATTTTTGAAGCAAAAAGAGAGGCGTGACAGACAGCCTGACCAAGAAATATATCAGACTAGAAGTTTTATTAAAAAGTTTTTTCAAAAAGACAATGGTTGTTTATAATTGCTATTAGTAACTTTTTCAAAAGTGTGGACCTCAATTTGAACACTTAAAATGGTTTTGCATGTTAAAATTTCTGTTATGTCACATACATTTTATTCAAAGTTATTATAACAATGGCGCTATTTTTTCTGTGTACTGGCTTGGGCCCCAAACTAAGATTTTCCCCAGTAGTTGGTTTTGCTTAAAAGAGGCTCTGGTTACCAGGGATCGTCTCCAACCAACGACAGCATCGTAAGATCGCTAATTTGACATTTACAAATGCTTGGTATGGTCTGAATTATAACCTATGTAGTGAGCCAATAAATATATCTCCATTATTTAAAATAATTCTGTCACCCCTCTTTATTTTGACATCTAAAATCAGATTTCAATTAAATCCACTTCGAAGTAGAATAAAAATTGAATCTTACTCTAAAACCAAGCAAACGAAGAAAAGATAGCAGATTGAGGTTCATAAGAATATTCAGGAGATATATACAATACCAAAAGAACCATGATTCGCTTGAACTCTAGACATATCAGGAACACTGGAATCTACAAAAAGCCACCATGGAAAGATATGTTCTGGAAGAATATTAAACATTAACAAAGTTGTACCTTTTTGCAGATGCTCCTTCTATATTATCTATCAAGATTTGCTCAATATCATCACCAACTTCATCAACATCTACGGATAGAAGTGAATGCAATTTCTGAGAAAATATTCTAAAGAGCTTAAAATTAGCACCATTATCTGCAGTGCAGGGTTGATTATTCGGTTTGTTTTAAGTTTACAGTTTTCTTTTTTAAAAAAGGATTCTCAAACAAACAAAGATATCAGTCTTTTTGATATTTTTGCAATAGACGGGAACTTGGGTACATCATTGGGCTTGTCATGGACCTCTCTATATTCAAACTTGCAAATAACTATCTGATTTGCAATTTTCTATTTTGAAATTTAATTCCAATGCAACTAAGTTGTTTGAGATTAAAATATTTGATAAAACAATGATGCAAAAATTCATTCAAATATATTTAACATGAAAAACCTTGGCAATAAATACGATGTTAATGTTATTAATATTGTTGATAGGTTTCTTGATTTGTTGTATTCTGGAACAAAATATTAAGGTTGATCTAGATTTTTGTGATACAACAAATAAGATATGAAAAACACTACAACATATATGCAATAGATTCTGACGTTGTATTTTCTGTCAACAGGCCAACAGTTGTGATAAAAAAACTTAGTCTGGTATTAATCATTGGCTGAGTTTGTTATGATCAACAGGCAGTCATTACCCCAATTATAGACTTCTTGTTGCTGTTTTTTTGGGAACCTTTTCAGCCTTGATGCCCTCTTCTCAAGCCTGATTTACACCTTTTTCCTTTGCCTTGGTCTATGCCTCCTTCTTAAGCCCAGACTGACTACTTTATCTCACTCATAGCAAACAGGCCTGGGGAAAATTACAGTACCGATTTGCTGTTTTCAAAGCCTCTACCCCCCCCCCCCCCCCGGAAAAATTCCCAATGTCATGTTTGTTGTTAAATAATATTGTTTGACGAAACAGCCATTGACACATGAAATTACTGAGCAAGTTCTGACCTGGTAGCAGTAGGAATTCAAATCCTTCATTTGCACTGTTTTGTGTCTCATGGCTTGTTATCATAATTTATGGTGAAACAAAATTTAAGACGTAGGATGTTTAATGGCTGACATTGCCTGTAGCTGTAAAATTAGGTATTGGTACCCTGAAAAAAAATCGGACCCCAGCAACTCTTTGCTGAGTCTCAGAATTAAAGACAAAGTGAAACAGGGTATGGCCTTAGTTACTGCCATCGAAAGAGCGGTTTCTAAAAATAAACAAAATTCATAATAAAATAAAGGAAACATCAAAGACCATTATCATTAGTTTGCAAAGATTGCTACTAAATATGAAATTGCTTTAAAATGTCTACCTCCTTGGAAATCGGCATCCAAATCTTCACTAAAAGCTGTGCTTACTGAACTTGCAATGGATCCACTATCACTATCATTGCCATCGTCAAAATTAGCTCCAGATTCTGCCTTTTTCCCTTGAGAATAGAATTAAAAGATTACTCTATTTACCCCACAGATAGCTGTGCACAAATAGGCAGCTAAAATTTTAAATAGCTACTAAAAAAAGGAAAATAAAATTATATCAAGTTATTCAGGTTATCATCCTGAATGATACCAAATTGATTATTAAAAATGGCTGCTTGTGACAAAAATTGCAAAAATTTTGATTAAAAAGACACACATTTTAGCTTCTATTTGACACTATCATCTTGATCCAAAATACAAAATTTGGTATACAACTTACATAAAGTATGCTCTCCAAGAAACAGATTAAAATTCCTTTATCGTTTTCTAAGAAGCTTACAAGGGACATTTCATGTTTCCAAACGCCAATCCAATTTTAGAATTTCTTTAATTTAACAATGTTTTTCCAGAAACTTCATAATCTTTCAGTCAAAACATTCAGCTCAAATCAAACACTCAAATCAATATATTTCAAACAGATAATATATTCTAGTTTGTGTTTAATTTGACTATTCCGACCAGTCCTTCAGATTTAGCAATGATGCAATTTTTTCAGACTTTCAAAATATTTGCAAATTAGGTTGCCCCCCCCCCCCCCCCCCAATTATTTTGAAATACAATGGTCTTCTTTCTAAAACAATAGGAAAATGTGATGTCATTTTATCAAAACAATAGGCTTGCCCCCCCAGTATTTGACCAAGTTCCTGCCAATGATCATCTGGGCACCTAAAGCATTTTAAAAAAAGGCTTGGCACAACATTTTTTGATCATCTGGCAGTAATGCTCTATATAACCTTCATAATGTACATAAAATTTATAAATGAAATTTATCAATTTAGCACATTTTCATTGGGTATTTAATCCTTCTTGAAGTGCATTAAAATCATTGTAACAGTCTTTTCTTCATTCGATGTTACCTTATGCACCTTATAACCAGGCACGTAAATACTAGAGGGTGTGGGGGGAATGCAATTGCTTCCACGTAGTAATAAAATTAATAACAAGAATATAGATGTAAATGAAAGTTACATGTCAAAACAATATAAAGAGGTTCGTATATTTAATATTCTGCATAAAACTAAACATAACTCATTAGTTACCTTTGATGTTTCACTATTTATTAGAGATATTAAGAAGTTTCAAGTTTTTTCAGTGTTTTGATATTTTTTAGGTTATCATGAAACATAATGGACCAGCCATCAAAAAAGCAGAAATTTGAAGATGCATGAAATAACCATGATATTTCCACATTTCAAGTAGGGCGAAAAAATCAAGACACAGTGCAAAATTCTAGCAACCCTAACTGGAAAGTATAAATGCAGCCACTGAATCCTTACGATGCTAGGGCTATTGATATCAAGTATCATAGATAGTGCTATATTACTCACATTGTCAAAAGGTAAAAGGCAAATACAGGTTAAGGAATTCGATGAAGATGAGAGTGTGACTAGAATAGCAGCAGATGTTGAGTTCTATGAAATGCTAAAAAATATTCTTAACAAAGAAGAAAATATTGGGATGGATGAAGTATGTATTTCACATAACAAGTATCGCAACTCGTATGGAATCAAAGACAATGTGTCTAGGAAGGTCCTGTAAGATATGATTCAGAAGAACATGCCTGATGTTCATTTTTCCTGTCAGAACAAAAACAAGGTTGAAAGAATTAGCTCAACTGTAGCAAAGGACAAAGCCATTGAAGCAGCAGAAAAGAATACAAATTATGATCAATAGAAAGAAGCAAAAAAAAATTTTTGCAGTGACCCAGTGGCAAAAGTTACAACTGCTGCTGGAATTGAAAGCATTTTCCACTGTGTTGAAATCATTTGGCTAGATATATTGAAGAAAAGGTTGACTGACTGATGGAAGTTCCAGGAAATTTTGCCACTTGAAGAAGTTAACTGGAAAATCCCTGCAACTCTCTTTTACTTGATAAGGTGGATCACGGAAGGTACATCAGGTGGACTAAAACATGATGCATGGAGTACCCAGAGCTGTAAAAAATGTGCCAGTATTGCAGAAACTATCATGTAAAACATAAAGTAAGACAGACAAGTATAGCATGCATCATCACAAAGTGTTCAAGGAAAGCTGTGACCATACAAAGGGTAATGACAAAACACTGATGTTAGGTGTTGGACTCAAGGTCCACACATACACAAAAAGCAAGCATTTAATCGATTATCTCCATTCAAGTGGGTTATGCATTGGGTATTCTAGAGTACTGAGTCTAGAAAAAGTACTTGCCAAGATAGTCATTTGAAGTTTCAAGACACACATGTGTTGTCTTGCCACAAGGTTTTGTCAAGGAAACTCTAGTATTCTTTGTTGTAGATAATATTGATTTTAATGAAGACACACCTGAAGGTAAAATACGTTTTGCGGAACAGTGCTTGTTGCATTCCAAGAAAAAGAAAACTTTGGTAGTTCAGTTTTGCCACAAATTTCATTTAACCCAGAAGAAGCTGATGGACATAATTTTGAGCATATATCAAGAATGATATGAACAGAAGCTACCATGTTCATTGAGAGGAAACCCCAAACCCAAAGACAGCCCTTCATATCCTGATTATGCTTTACATTGCAATGAAGAAGAATTATCGGAGCCTTTGCAGAAAGATTTACTGTGGCTGGTATGGCAGAATATTTCCAGGAATAAAGCACCTAAAGAGCAACATGCCAGTCTTTGTCGTTTAATGCGTGCGATCGCACGTGCTCGCATCGGCACACGCATGACACCTATAATGCGAGCAATTGATCGCATGCATGAGTTGTATATTTGACCATAGTTTTTGACCTGAATAAAATTGTTTTCTTCAACGAAGCATTGGAAGTTTTGTTGCAATGCAATAAAGCTGATGGAAAAGTGATTCTGTTGCATCCAGTGCTCGTGCATCACTAGACAATTATGGAAAACAAAGAATATAAACATGGGCTGCATTCAACTCTGTGACCACAAAAAATGATGACAGATGGCTCAACAAAATAGCAACACTTCCTCTCATCGCATCACGTGCTAATGAATGGCAGATGCTGCTTACTGTACTGAAGCAAGCAAAGAATATAAATGCTGAGATAATGGGTGATGGTAGCTAGATTCTTATTACCCTAGATATGGATCTATACAAGAGAGCAATTAAACTACGGTATATTTGCAAGGAAAGGAGCTGGATTCTCCATATTGGTGAATTTCACACAGTTTTTTGTGCATTGAGATCAATTGGGGGCATTCATGGAGAATTTAGGCTTTGATAATGCACTGTTAGAGGCAGGAATATATGGGAGTGCATCAATTCAACAGATGGAAAGCATATGAAACGTGCCCTAAATGCAAACCTGAAGTTGTTGGAAGCTCTATTTGACCTCCTCATTGATTCCTTCAAAAAACAACACCCAGAAGCTTTGAGGCCTCTTGAAGAACTGAGTAGGCAATTGATTGCTTCTTGTGAAACTGGAAATGATGAATCCATGCAAATGGTTCAAACTGCAGTGACTGACCATGTCAAGTCTGATGATTTCTTTCATCAAATGGCAATGTTCGCTGAATGTAAAGAAGCCAAAAGTTCAGACTTTAAATTTGCTTGTATGTTCATGAACATGGTGTTGAGGCTGCTCCAATTCATTCGAGCTAGCAGGGGAGGACTCTGGTTTCTTCATCTGGCTTCAATAGAGAAACTATGTACAAACTTTTTCAGCCATAATCGCGTTAAGAATACCCAGTATACACCAGAATATATTGCAAAGATGTACAACTTATGAGAAACACAGCCAAAAGCATGGGAACAACTTAGCAGTGGGGGTTTTTGTGTCAAGAAGAATCAAGTTCCTTTTACAAGCATAGGTGTTGATCATGCTCTTGAACAAGAGAACAGAAGAATGAAAGTTTCGGGTGGAGCAAAAGGTCTGAGACAAAGTCATAAACAGCTGACCCAATTTTGCTTAACTGCTCCTGAACTGGCAAGATTGTCTGCTAAAATAGATTGTGTGTCTGGCATGATAAAATCATATTGTAAAGAACACCATGATATTTCGCCAAAGATTCTCCTCAGGCAAGAAGATAATAGAAGGAAGCTGCGGGAGACACTTTCACTGTCAAATCCATTTACTGAAAGTCATGATTTACACAACATCATGACAAAATCAGTCATGGCTGAAGCTGTAAGTGAAGATGTCTTCAGTAGTGCCGACAGAGGGAGAGAAGCTTCGGAAGATTTCATAACTAAACGGATTAAAGGCAATGTAAGCATTTGGGATAAAATGACCAGGCTTAAGTTGACCAGGCAGCTCAACAGGCAAAGTTTTTAAGTTACATTTGAAGGAGAAAACTGTGAAATTGAAAGAGGACAGGGCACTATTTGTTCGAATGGCAATTGCAGCAAGATCTCGCCCTGAACTCGATCTGGAAAAAGCAGTATCAACTTATGAACTTTCATGTGTTCCACGCTCGTTATTTGATGCTGCAGGTGAGGAATTGTCAGCAACATTTAAAAATTGAATTGCTTCATTTTCTGGAGGACCTTGCACAAAACAAAAACACTGAGAGTAGTGCCACAAAGGCTATTATTATAGACGGAATGGTGTTAGTACAGCAGCTTAGTTCTAGAAAGGGGATTGCATCATGCAATGAAATGGCTCAACATTTCATTTCGTTACTAGAAACCGCATCTACAGGACATGTCACTGTACACTGTAATTGATTGCTACAATGTTTCAGCATCACCGAAAGAGAAGACACATGAAAGAAAACAGTATCATATAACTTCAGGCATTGACTTCTTGTGCTCCGATATCACTCTTATCTGTTCATCACTAAAGATTTTCTTCAGCAGCAAGACAAAAGGAAGCTTGACAGAATAAGAAGCTACAAAGATCCTTGATCATCTTAGGGCAGCTGAAAAACTTGTCATAGTCTCAACGTAGAATGGTGTAAAGTGCAGTGATGGTAGGCACCCCATCACTCACCTTAAAACAAGTCAGGAAGAAGCTGATACAATACTGTTGCTTCATGCAATCGGCGTTGCTAGCATAGGTGCAGCCATCCATAACTTGTTGCAGGACACTGACATCTTATTCCTTGCATTAAAATATCAGCCAATGCTGGAAGACGAAGCTGTATTCAAAACAAAGGGTGGCAAAAGAGAAGCTGTTCAATTGAAACCTATCCATGATGCTATTGGGACAGAAACATCAACAGCATTTCCATCATTTCATGCCTTCACTGACTGTGCCACTGTTGGTTGATTTACTGAAAAAAGGAAGCTCTCCTGCTGGAAAGCTCTCTTTAATGCATCAGGTGAAATAAAACGCCAGTTCCTAAATGGTTTTTCAGAACTTGGAGTTGAAGAAAATCCCACAGAACAAACATTAGCCTCCCTTGAACACCAAAAGCTAAAGTAAAAGAGGTAGGCAAGGCTCACTGGCACCTTTTCAAGAAATTTCAAGGAGAAGGAGAAAAGTTACGACCAACAAAGTCTTCCTTGAAGCAACACACAAGCAGGGCAAATTACCAAGCCAGAATTTGGAATAAGGTGAACATGCCGCCTCCAGTAGGCCATGGCTGGATTGATGAGAATGGGAAGATAGTATCTTGAACAACCCTGCAGAATTCCACACCAGACGCAGGTCTTTGAACTTGAGCAATGCAGCTGCTCTAAAAGAAGATAATTCAGTAATATGATGGTTATTCTGAAGATGACCAGTTTGTTGATTTATGAGATTATTTTGTTTTAATGTTAAAACTATTTCGTTTGGGAGCCATCTGTAGGCTTAGCCCTAAATAGTTTTATAAAGAGTCATTTTCAACATGGAAGGATTCGTTGCATTCAAAGGTGGGTGAGGTTCATACATATTCAAGTGCAGTGAAAAATGTTGTATCCATATAAGGAAATTGAGGGTTATTAGTCTTTCGATCACATACAGGAAATGATTTGGGAGCTTATTCTTTAAAATGCAAATACTTAGTGTTATAAATTTCGCTTGGTAGCAAAATAGAAATTGCTCCTCCGCAGAGGTGCAGGTTGTTAGCTTTTCATCTTTGTATCTAAAACCCAAATCACCCTAAAATCCAAAATAAAAAATAGCACCAAAGTTTTTCGCAAAGAGTTAAATATCAGGAAAATGTATGTTGCCCATAATTTACAAAAAAATCCCAGTGGAGTTTCATTTACCTACAAAGGCTAGTCTGAAGCTTGTGTAGTGACTACGACCTATTTTCATTTAGAGATTTACTGATTTCAATGCTGCCCAAACATCAACAAATTAAACAAGAATAGCAGTGCCAGACTGGAAACTTTGCTTCTTGCGCGGGCAAGTTTATTTTGAAAATTTGAGACTGCGCGCCTGAAATCATGCACTCTTAGTTATTTTTATTGTTAATAATGTTAAATCCTATTGTCAAGGGATGTAGGGGATTTTGCGCGGCCAATATGCAAAAGCGCGCAGAGGTGTGCGCGGGCAATATATTGCGGGCGCGCAGCAAAGTTTCCAGTCTGGTAGCAGTGGGCTTAACTTTTTGTATCTGCATATTGCCCTTATGGCCCAGAAGCCATTTAACAGTTTCGTGTTTCAAAAACCATCTACCCGCAAACATATCAGCACGTCAGTTATCTCAGATCTATTATATATACTTGTAACCAAAAAGATATAAATCATTTCTTCTTATAGATTTTATCATTAAAATGTTATTAGAAAAACCGCTTTATCAAAGCTATTAAAATCAACAGAAGAATTGATGAAAACCCCTATTTATTAATTCTTACATAGCACCAAAGCACGAGACCATGCCAAGCATGCAAATATATACTTAGGCCTATCTAATTAAGGTAACTATAATTCTATTCATTGCTGACTAAACGATTATTCGCTGCCCAAATTCACGCATAAAACAAAAAAGCTACCTTTCTTAACGACACGCTGTCTCTTAGCACTTTTGGCTTTCCGCGACCTGGCACTTTCCATCTTGAATAATTTCTAAAAATTTGTTTGATCAGCGTCACACCGGCCTTGGTATAGCGAAAAAACAACTAGTTTTACAGTAACTGATGATTTGTCTTTTCTTTCGTATAGGTCTTCTCTGGTGGCGGTTATTATCTAAAACAATATCTAAAATATTAACAGCTCTCTTGGACAACATTTGTGTCTTATTACTTTCCGCAGCTTTTCAGCCAAGGTTCGGCCATAAAACTTAATGGACGACCACACTTACTAGCCTCGTATTCATGAAGTCAATTAATGAATGACACGCGAAAACAGGGGAAGAAAACGCGAGTCTTCGCGTTCGATGAGCCTCGTTCGTCTACAAAACGTAAGCACTTCAAGAAAAATATCGTGGATGGTTGTTGATAAGGAATCCTGTGAAGAACTAAATTGTTTATTCAAGACCAAATAATGACGAATGGTAATCATTTTATAGTATTTTTAAGCTATTCAAAATATTCTCCTTTTCATACTTTCTTAAAAATGGACATTAATTAGAATGAGCAGAGGCATCTTTATCATGAACTCTGATGATATATGAAGTCTCTGAAAGTCAAGTACTAATCTTGATGTTTCCTTCTTTGTCGAATGCAGACTCAATAGGCAAAGAAAAGACACAGTCTGATTGGATTTTGGCTTGAAACTTTGTCTAGCAACTAGATACAGCACTTCAAACCAGATGCAATAATTATTAAAATAAGAGTCTTCATCTTTTATAAAACAATGTCTCCTTGACTCAAATTTGCAAAGCATTTAAATACAATTATTCAATTTGAAATAATCCTTAAATTTAATTTGCTTTTTATAATAACTCAAAATTTATATACTTTTCAAACATAGTAAAAGCAAGGTTGGGGAGGAGCTAAGCTATATCAATCTGTTGCCACGAAGGATTTGCTAGACTTTGTTTCTTTTTGCATCCAGGTCTACATCTTTGAGTCATGTATTCGGTTCCTTAAAAGGAGAGGGGGGCTAGAGCTTTACCCTCATTTGTTATAGTCAAATACAGTTTCGTTCAGATTACATCAAAACATCTTTCAATAATGTCAAAATGTAATTGATCTTCAGCCTCATCAATATCTTTGAGATTTTTAACAAATTTTGAGAGCCATGATTTTAAAAACATGGGTCCAGAATGTTACCCCAACACTATTTTCCATTCTTGCAGACACCAATCTCTCTGGTTCACTGAGCATTTTCAAAATTGAATCTGAACCTCATTTTTGATTCCTTCATCACTATGAGTTATTCACAGTACTCCTACCTGCAATAGTGAACAATAGTGACATAATGATCTATTCTACAAATTTTTTATAAAATTCTTATTCTTAAAAGGCAGTGTCAAATAGCTTGGTTACAGGAATTATCTTACCTTTCAGCATATTCATTTGATGGCATCATTGTATTAGCTTTGCTGTTAATCTGCACTTGTGCTTATATAAGGCGAGTACCAAAACTGAAAAGTATACTCTTGTCTGAGAAGAAAGGAGTGTTTGGTGTTTTGTATAAAGGTGAGTTATTTTCATGACGTTTAATGAAAACCTTAAAAAACTCTCTTACCTCCCTGCTAATACAGTATGATACAGTCACAAAGCCAAGGGCAGGCACAAGGGGGCATTATCAACCCAATATAATAAGCCAAATATTGAGACGAAATAAGACTTCAAAATATATTTATTTTCACCATAATCATAAACATAGAAAACTAACTTACAACATGTATGTGCTAACTGGAATAGAGGCTAGATATGATTTATGCACATATTTGATACTATTATTGAAAGCGGACAAGACCAACTAACTGCTGCTGCCCCATGCCTGTCCAAAAATTTATAAAAAAAACCTTAGAAAAAGGTGTCTTCCTATGCAACAGCCGAAAAACATCAATTTTGGAACCATATCTCCAATCATGATGAAAACCCATATAGACTGTGCACAAGTCCTCTCAATTGCTTCTTGGTATGCTTCAGCCTGTGTAATATGTTAAATACTTTTTTCAGCAATGAGCAAAGTAATTGATTCCCAATGAAAACGTCAAGCTACCAAAAGATTCAGCTCTTCTTTTTGCTTCTAAGAGCAAGCTAAAGGTGTAGAAGTAGGGTATTGCAAGTGATTAGTCAGGTGATAAAGGGCCCTGTTAGTCACCAGTCTCATCAGTCACAGTATAAAATAGCCTGTTACAGGACCTCTAGGAATTGTTATTGTCTGTCTTACGTAGAACAGATCTCACTATTAAAGGACATTGGATGGCAAAAGGGAAAAGCATTAACAATCAAGAGAGACAACTTAGGAATTATGCAGGCCTGGCCGTTTGTATTTTTATAGGTGAGCTGTGAATCGCTCCCCTCATTTGCTGAGGCGAGCTAAATCAGTAACACATAGAATGTACTTTAAAGACAATCGACAGATGACTTAATAAGCCCCTTTAGTATCTGTCGGTTGCCTTAATGTAATTGCCTCAGTCAGCAGTGTTATGTTTTACTTCTTTCAATTTGTATTTGCTTTAACCGTGACTTAGGCACCCCCTTTACTTGAAGTATTTGAAAGAACAGACTCTCTCCGTTTTATGTAAAGCTGGCACAACACAAAAACAACAATTCTCTTGCAAAACAATCTTTTTGTTGCACAGAATTTGAAAATGGCTTTAAAAAACAAATTTTGAAACAAGCTTAATTATACGTCTAGCACTCTTCAGATAATAAAACGTCAGAACATAGAAGGAAAACTCTACGCTAAAATACCCAGTTTTGGATCGAAATAGGCCATCAGAAAACGCGAGGACATGACTGTTGAGGTTTTCCAATAAGTGCCCCTTTCCGATTGAAAATGTTACCAATTGCTACATAGATGGAACGATGATCAGGCTTTGCCAATAATGCGAAACATGTCGCCGTTATAGTTTTTCACCCAATCTGGGATATTCAGTAAATGCTGCTCGATAGTGGAATTCCATGTTTTGGTTGTCGTTTTTGATCTGCAAGACAGAGTACCCTGTTCTCTTTGAGGGATAGTTTTGTTTCTATTGCTGGAAGGGACCTGCTGTCTTATTATATCCCCAATCTACAATTCCTACCCATTTCTTCGACTTTCCTTCCAAAAATATTCCTGTTTTCTTAAGATTGAAAGGTTCTAATCGCTACAAATGTACCTTTCGGTTAACTATCCTTTTCCAAATAGATCGAAGTTTATGCTTATCATAACAAAAACCGCCCAACAAGCAAAAAGTTAGTTGCAAAAAATGCAGTGACGGGAGAAATCGCTGTTACAAAAATAAGCCAATTAACCCGTTTTCAGGGTTCTCTGAATAGGAAAAGGGCAAATGAATGGAAATTTTAGGGGAGCGATTCTCCCTTCATGTTCTGTTTAGGAGAGCAATTCATAGCTCGCCTCAGGTTGCGAGGGGAGCGTGGAGGCGAGCGCGAGCTATCGCTCGCCTCAAACGGCCAGGCCTGAATTATGCACAAATTATGTAATCAAAGTTTGGCAGTTTTTAAAAGCCTCATTCCTAAAATTATCAGCTAGTAAGCTATAACAATGGCCATAAATGTTTCTGTTGATACTCCCCCCCCCATCTTTTGTTACTTAATATGTGAAAGTTCCCTTTCCCAATAGCCAACAGAGTTAAGGTCTGGAATGGATCAAACTAATGACTAGTCTAATAAAGTACATTTCTCTACAAATTTTTTATGAAATATATCAAATTGTAGTATTTAAATACCGGTATCTTTTTGGATGAAAACCACAGCCCCCTGCATCCTCCATTGAAATGATTCCAATTTGTTATAATTCAAATAAACAAATACAGTTAGTCATTAGAATTTGGGGCAAGACGGTCTGTTATTCATCTATTCGTAACCCCTTCTGCGCCCTCAAGCTACGAAACCCCTTGGCTTAGTTGACAAGACAACCTTTGCTCGACTTTGCCCAACCACTTTTTAGCACTGGCTTTGTGCCCAGGGGCGGCCTGGCCCGGGTGGCAAAGTGGCGATCGCCACCCGGGCCCTGTGTACAAAAAATTTACGGGCCATTCCGCGTTAGAGAACATTTTTTAACTAAATGTCAAATGCTTAATGCCCTAGACTGATTATATTGCGATTAAAGTCCCAATACATGCACTTCAAACCACCCCAAACCCTGGTTTCCATTATTTCAGCCATGTGTTCAATTTTCTTTTTATAATAACGTGTACCCTGGGTACCAGAGCCACAAAATTTCGAGCGCGTAAACAGAATGCCGAGCAGCAAAGCGGATCTGCGTACTCTTATTTTCTATTCCCGCTCTCTAATTTCTGGCTCTGGTACCCAGGGTATCTCACCTGGAATGGACAAAAATTGATTGATTAAAAACATCCATGTTTTAGTTATGAATTGATTTAAGAATTGATTCAAATGTCAGAGACAGTACTGTGGGAACGAAATTCATATTAGGAGGGGGGCGGCTGCTCATTGTATCTATTTCCTTTCAGTAAACTGTTATACTTGTCGTCAAATGAAGGCTGCCTCACTCACGTTGTTGACAAATGATGCCTGAACACCTCCCAAGAACGAAAACACTAGCAATCGCACTGCTTACACCCTATTTATTTAAGAACAAATTAAGGACAATCCAGCCTCAGACTTTTGCAAAAATTAAGAACAGTCAGCCTAAACCTAAATTTACTGGTTCTTATAAAAAAATTAGTGAATACAACATGCACCTAGCAGCATACCCTTCCCTCTACAACACATATAAGTGCTTGATGACACTGAGCTTCACCCAAGTTTCATTTGAAAGATTATTCAGCGCTATTGATAATTTCAAGCGAAGAGAAAACTTGATTACGAGCAAGTCATTGACCAATTTGCTGATCCATCTGTACTTCTACGAAAAGAGTTGAAACTCTGAGAGCTTAAATAAATTTTGATCTTGATTCTTAAGACCTGGTTCAAATGTCGCGCTTCTCATGTGCCGAACCTAACTCGAGAATTAAGTACATGAGGGGCGCGACGTTTTAATCAATTTGGTACGGCAGATTGAGTTAGGAGCGGCAGACTAGTTTGGATCGGCAGAGCTTGCCGAGCTGCACGACTCCAGCACGGCACGGTTTCAAGCGTCGAACTTGTCATGTACCGAACTCAATGCAAAATTATATTTAATTTATTTTCCTTCACAGAATTCAGTTCTTTCTTGGAGGGCGCATGCGTTTCAAACAAATATTTGAGATTGCGCGCCTTAACAAAGATACTTCATGTAACAATCCTAAAACCCATTTGGCGCGACATAATTAAGTTCGATGTTTGAAACGGGAGTCGCGCTAAACATGCTCAAGTGTCGCTCCAAACAGAGTTAGGTTCGGCACATGAAAAGTGCGACGTTTGAACCAGGCCTAACTCTACATGGGATTTTAAATCCTGTTTACACGAGAGGAAAGGTATGGATCCAATTGGGTCCGAATTTACGAATTAAAATCGATATACTGCTGCTGTTTAGCGCATTGCTTTATTATCAATTTTTAGTAAATTAATCGTACTTTAAGGCCACATTTTTAGTGGGTGTGGCTCAATTTTTCCGCCACGCTCTAACCGGGCCCTTTGAGTTTTCTAGCCACCCTGCAATTTTGACGCCAGACCGGCCCTGTTTGTGCCTGGTATGGTATTGCTATAAATGGTGCAATGCAATGAACTATGATAAAACTATTACTGAAATGTGTTAGATACCATGATTTACATTAACTATACATTGTAGTTCTTCATTCTAGATCTCACTAGTCTCAACAACAGTTTCAGGATTTCCTTAGCTCAACCCGTAAACATTTCGAGTCTAAAAAATAGACTTAGATAATATTTGATGAGATAATATTTGATGATATTACCAGATTCAATGTAAAAAGCTGTAGAGTAAATGTATTTACTGTTATTTTTTTTTTCAGCTGCTGTTGTTGGTGTAAGGCTTCACTGGGCTGTTTCCATTAGTTGTGCCGTCATGGGAATATACATACTGATACTGAAATAATTTTTGAATTCTTCGAAAGTCTTGTTTATCAATTGTAAATAGGAAATATTTTGGGTTATTTGAACTGTAAAAAGTAAGCAGTGTTCTCTTCAGGAACTTCCTATGCTTGAATAAGTTGCCAACTTCAAACATTGGTGTCTATGGACAACTATATTAATTTGTGTATTTGTTGTGAGATGTTTCTTTCGATATTTTAAGCTTGAATCTTTTATTCCTAAAGTTGATTGAGGTTTTTTTATATATTCTCAAATATATTTGAAGATATTCGAAAGCAGAGGCCTATGCTAACAAATCTAGACTTTTGTTTAGAAGAAAAACTTCCCAACATTAACTTTGATAAGAATTCAATCCTAAACAAAAGATCTAAACTTATTTTCAAAGGCAGGCATCAATCGTTCCTAAAATTTTTGGCGGAACAAAATTTATAAATTGCTGTGCAGAGAGTAAACATTTTACAAAATACTAAAAGCTTTTTCATCTGACACTCCTCAGAGTATAAAATGTCAGAAGAAGGTTCCGAAAGGACAAGTTGGAAAAGAACCACCCAGTTGATCGAAATAGGCAAATCAGAAAAACGCAAGCAGATGACCAGTATAGTTGTCCAGTCAGTACCGTAGCCTATCGAAAATAACCACTGGAGTGCAAAACGAACTCCTCCTATCTACACAATGGCGGGTTTTTCGTTTGCATGTAGATCGATTCAAAACTGCTGGTTGAAGAGACGACCGGGCTGTGCCAATTATCTCTGCCAATCTACTCACAAATTAAGAACAATCCAGTCTCATATTTTCGAAAAAATTAGGGACAGTCATCCTGAACTTCAATTTACCAGTTCTTAGAAAGAAGAGAGTAAATAGAAAACAGTGAGAACCATCCAAAATACAAATAATCTGAGTAGCCTTTGCTTATCATAATTTTGGAGTTCTTGATTTCTCAAATTCCAATCGTTTCTTAATTTATTTTTTTTGATTGCAAGAGTTTTTTCTGATTGTGCAGTTCTCGTTTCTTAGAGTTTTTATAAAAGAAATGATTTCATATCGCTGGGATAAAAGAGTATCCATTTTGCATTGCAATTAGAGAACTTTTGTTAGAAAGGAGAGGGTTCGCAGTCACGCCTAAAGTCCTGCGAATGGCAACATATTACTGCCAGAAAGCCAGAAGGCAAGAATCAAAGGCAAGAATCAAAGGCAAGAGAACGAACGCTTCATAAAAAATGAAACTTCGAGTAAAAGTGTGTTCTACATACAAAAGTACCAAAATTAACATACAACTTTCTTTACAAACCAAATTTTAGCGCGAATACTTTTGTTGTACAATGGAGCAGCATTCCCCCGGCCGGGTCTCTCCGTGTATGTAACATGAACATCAAATGATATTAACTAAGACATCGTCACGAAAGTCATCGGAACACGTGATTGGAAATAACTAGTGATACGTAAACGTAAATCCTAGTTCTTTGGCCACATCGTAATAGGCCTAAACCGAACCCTGTTCCAATACATCGTGGATCGATTTATAAATCAGATTAGAGCAAAGGGTAAAAATAAAAAAGTGAAATAAAACAAAATAGCATTTACACAGTCTGAAAGAAACCACATAGAAGAGATCAATAGAGATCGAGGATGCTACATGAATGAATAATTAGTTGATTTATTGAAATGACTGACTAATTGTAGTATTGATTGACTGTTTGATGATGGGTTGACTGATTGGAGTGATTGATTCACTGTAATGTAGTGTAGTGATTGACTGTAATGATAAGTGATCGATTGAAGTGAGTGATTGATTGATTGATTACAAAAGTTGGAACCCTTTAAAAACATGACTAAAATTAACTTAATTTATGGTTGAAACCTGAATGCATTCATATGCAATACAGAATATGTACATTCTTCTCGGCACAATTTTCCAGTGTTAAAGCCCCATTTTAATCATAGGTTTTCAAGCAAATTTGCAAGAGTTTAAGAAATGATGGCAATAATAAATGATGCCTTCAAAGATCTACGTGTTATAATTCCTTTCCTGCCTACGAAACTTCCTTTTTCTAAAACCTAGCATGTTTGCTGTGATAGTTATAAAAAATCGTTCTTAGAAAGCAATATAACGAAATAAGTTTTAGGTGCCGTAGAATTTGAAGATAGTAAAAATAGCGTAAACATGCATACTGAAGTAATTTTCGTCCGACACTCTTCTTTCTTCATCCCACGTTTCTATCGATCTACACTGGATGTAAATGTTCTTACCTTTGGTTATTTCAACAGCCAGTTCATATCATGGTTTCCAGCACTTGACAACCACAGGTGAACCTCTAAATTAGAACCGTTGGTCCCCTGTGATTCTGAATATAAGTAATTCTGAAAAGATGGTTGCTATCATAATTCAGATGATTGCTGTGGGATTAAGGGGTTCTGAGATTCCTTTGGCCGCAAAGAGATGGATTGCAACAATTGATGAAACGATAAAACAATGATCAATAATAAAAAATACAGCAAGAAAAGTAAAAATGAAAACTCCTCTAAGTCTCTAGTTCTCTTGACCCTATAAAAAATTAAGCATTGTATTTTAAAATTTCGCAAGATTTAGAAGCTTTCTCGTCACTTTTATTCAAGTCAACTTTAAAGTCAGCAAATTTTCGTCAGCATCCTTTGTAAACCTGCTCTAAACTGAATCTTAGATTCTTCAAAGCCGTCAAGTCACGCGTTCGTGAGACCATGGCATTATGATCACTAGAGGCTTCGCCAGATCATGGAGAACTTTGCCTGACGAGCTATGCAGACTTCTCTCGACTAGAAAGGACCTTCGAAATGTGGTCTTAGCAAAGAGGACATGGTCAGTGGTAATTGCTTGAGTTCTGTTACAGTCAATAACTGTTCACTTGGACAGGGCATGAAAATTGAAGCATCTCATAAAAGTACAGAAATGGCAACAAATTGAAGGCTTATTACTTTCAAGTAATTTTAGCAAGTAATTTCAAGTAATTTTAATGGAATTTTATCAAAGAAAGCTGGCACCGTGAAGGGATATAGTTCTTTTATCTTTCTCCTGCTCTATTCTCTCAAGAATCATTATCAGATATACAGACATAATACATTTTAAAATAGGAAATCATATTCAAAAAGTTCTAATACATGTAGATATAATAATAGAGGTATGAAAATCTAAGAAAAGTTTGAGTAATTGCTGCTACTAATTGCATAGAATTTACTTTCAAGGCACTGATTTACAATCCGTAGAAAGTTACTGAACAAAAATTAGTTTCATGTGTCTATTTCTTCTTATTGAGTCGTTTGTTGAGAAGTGGATTTGATGACATTTTGACGTCTTTCAGCCGCATCTGCTCTTGAAAATCGACCCTCATAGTAGCCAGTGCATGGGTAATTTCCTCCTGAATAGAAATACTGAGCAATAAACGCTTGCATAGAACAACACTTATCATAAAATGAGCAAACACATTCTGAATATCAGCAAAAGTTACATTTTATAAATTCAAAAACATTACCTTTGTTTCTTCCATTATATCGGCATCTTCATTAAGTATGCTTGCCGTATAGAGGGGTGTTTGAGGAACTTCTGTGTAACGCTAAAAGTAGCAAGTGCTGTTTGAGTATTTTAATCAAGTTTAAAAAACAACAAACCAACAAGATAGCAAATAGAAAATCCTTCGTATAAATATTCATAAATTTCATTTGTCTTATGCAGCTGAATAGAAATTTAGCGCCTTAAAAGTTCCTTATTTTATCTAGACAATACTTGCAACGGAGGTAGCCTAGTATCAACAGTAGAGGTATTTGAACAAGAAAATATTATTATTCAGTGATATCTATGGAGAATGTCACACTTTGGTTTGGAGAGACAAACCATAGAAACCCGTTTTTCAAATGGTTTAGAGAGGGGTTCGAACAATTTGAGGCGGATTTAAGGATTTGAAAGCGTGATGAAGAAGTTCATATCGTAGAATGTGTCAACAATTTGACAAATTAAATATCCCGAAGGCATCAGGTTAGTTGGCAAGTTCCTCAAGGTTATGAGAAACGCATAGTGGATGAAATCAGGTATACATCTAACAGTACGCTTGTCATAACTGGCTCGACTACTGCAAAAATCAGCATTCACCTCACATCACTGGTACAAAGATCATCAATGAATCATCGTATACGTATTTACTGCCACTGATGAAATGATTCAGACTTACCCTAATCCATGGATGATTCATAACTTGATTTATTGTTAATCGTTCACTTGGATCCGTTTTTAACAGTCCTTTGATCAAGTCTTTTGCTGGTAAAGAAAACCAAATACCTGGCTATTGCATGTGCAGGAAAACCGACGGCATTTACAAAACATTGATGATGTATTGACAAGAGGAAGCTACATGGAGTAGTGCTTGAATACTGTGTTTCTAGCTCGTTTTACTTGATGCAGCATTGTCGATAGGTGGCATATCTTTCTTGAGATAAGTAAAACACCCCCTCCTCAAACGAACATTTTTAAAAAATATGAACGCTTAGTAGATTATCGATATTTTCGCGAGTCAGGTTTCAATATTCATTTCCAGGCCTCAATCAAATTTTATGCTGGTTCAGCTACAAAGACATAAGGGAAATCCTCTTAAAAAGAATAAATCATATCATCCAACGAAATATGAAGATAAATGAAACATAAAATAAAACAAATATTTCTGACTTCAACAGTTACAAAATGAGTTTTTTTCTTTTTAAATGTTTATAAAATAAGTTTTTCACTCTTTTGAGGTGATTTCAACAAAGAGCTCTAACAAGCTAAGACTTGTACCGTAAGGATAAAAAAATAATCAACGTATGTAGGTGGTAAGTACCATGATCAGACACATTTTTCCATTCTGTGTCAGGGAATGCATATTGACCCTCTCTTATTCGTTTTTTCATGCCAGGAGATATCGCGGCACCATGGTTGCTGTAAAATGGTGGATATCCACATAGCCTGAAACAAAGTTATTCAAGTTATTCTGTGACAAATGAATGGAAACCTATCAGCGATCTCTTTACCGGGGAAGTTACTTCATTTGGCAAGCTTTTCTATCATTGCCGCCTTTCCTCGAAATTTCAATTTCCTACCGTTTACTTTGAATCAATGTTTCTCTCTTCGAAAATCATCATGCAATTGACAAGAATCTTTATCGGCAGTAAATTTCCTGGAAGTGTGAGCTAAAAGAATTCATTGCTGAAACGATAACAGCCAGGAAGAGAAATACTCTGCTGGGAAGTGCAATGCTTATGCGAGTCACGAGTACCAACCAAGATGTTGGGATAGGGTGACTTTTGATTATGCTTAGTTGTCATTTGAGGATTGCTGATATCAAGAATGTTATGTTAATTTAAAGCATAATGAGGACTGGAAAAGAGGGATATTTTGATGGATGTGACGTAAAGTTTGTGTGAAGCGTTGTTCAGGGCTGTGAATCCCCCGATGAAGAATTTATAAGAAGTTTATCAAGTCTAGGCTGCATTTAAACATTTTGCAATTGCTGGTTGCTTAGCTGCAATTGTATACCTAAGACAAAGACCACACATTTATATACGCAACATTCTACCAACTCAGATTAAACTAAAAAGCATTAAACTCAGATTAAACTTAGAAATATGTTTTCCAATACTATTCATGGGCACAATAGACTGCATAATGGAAAAATAAACGAAATGGAGAAAAAAAGCATTTAAGTTTACATACATATTCACCCCCCCCCCCCCCCCCCCCCCCCTCAAAAAAAGAGCTATTGCCAGTTTTTAAAAAAATTCATCAAGCGCGGAAATCTTTGATCAAAATCTGGCATCATTTATCGTTTAAACATGTGACATTTACTAAAATCCTCTTCTGGAGAAACAGGTCCAAAAAATCAGATGAAATCAATTTTTTGGTTACAAAAGACTGGCTAGATCATTTTCAGTTTAGAAAAATGGAACCTAGTTATGATGGTTACTGTGTTGTCGCCTTCTCGCTATAGGCTTATTAGATCCTTGAGAATGTTTTAAGATTACTGAGATCAGAAACGCTGAAGATGCTAAAAACAACATCCTTAGTCTTACTACAAACTATGCTAATTGTTGTCAATTACTAATCTAAGACAAGGAAGGGGTATATACATAGCAATCAGATGCACTAATTCATTCTTTTCTCAAGCTTCAACATAATTGTACGACACGCAAACAAGTAGATTCAACACGATTGGCTTGGTTGCTCTAAACGCTATTTCAAGCCTGCATTGTACGTACAGCCTTTACCTTCCAAACAAAACCTCTTGAGTGGATCAAGTGTACAAGCCGAAGTTTCAAAGTTGGCACAAATAAAAAAAAACTCATTGCCTTGTTCCAACAAGAAAATATATGACTATGCGAAGGAAATAGGCGAAATTTGAAAGAAGCACCGTTATAGATAGAACCTTTTCTAGTATTCATATGTTTCATATTTATTCGTATAAAATTATTTAATACGAAAAATCCGTTCAGCATAAGAAAAATCAAGTAAAAAAACAAGCTTTAATACAACTTAATCTATATACAAGGAGTAAAAGTGATTTCTGTGGGCCTATACGCTGCTCTTCCAAAATCTTTGTAAGATCTTTATTTTGGAACTAAGAATACTTCCCAAATAACATTTGCATAGCGCAAATGACTTTACATAAGGATACGAGAAGGGTAATAAACGCCTTCGGGCTGAAAGCTGGTATGGTCACAATAAAGTTCTAAACAGGCAAATAAATGCATACTCACAAAATATATGTTATCACACCAAGGGACCACATATCACATGACTTATCGTACTTCTCAGGCCCAAGGACCTCCGGAGCTAAAAGAGAATGATACATGTACTCAAAAACATATGAAATAAACATATCATGAATGGGCGGTACTCAAACATTTTACTAATATGTAACGGTGGTTCAGTATGGATTGATATATCTTAATCTGAAGAACAGACAGACAACGAAGAACAGAAAAAAGTGAGGATGGGGCAGAATTTCACGTCATTAGCGTCATGAATGCTCAACTCACAAACAAGGTGAGGGGTATAGCAGAAAGGAAGCTCAACTCATCAACACAAAAGATGTATAGCAATAAGGATGGTAAACTCACCAACATAGTAGGGTGTATAGCAGGGTGTTTGGAGTGAAACGCTGAGTGTTTCTTTGGCAAATCCAAAATCTGTTAGCTTCAGCAAAGTCTCATCGGCTTTTCTGGCAAACAAAAGATTCTCCGGCTGCATGGAACAAAACCCATTATAAAAAATGCAAAGGTATGTTTCATTCTACGTTAAAATAGAAGATCTAAAAAATAGAACTGTTAACAGACTTTACAAAATAATGAGCCCCATTAAAATCTCTCTCGAGAGTTGATGAGAGTTCAGTATGTACCACAACAATCACCATTTGGGAAAAGAAATACCCCATGGAAAAGTACAACACTGTACAAGGCTTATGCTTGAAGGCCTTCCATGAATTACATGGTACTAAATGTTTTATGGTAATGTTTCAAAAGGTACCACATGGGCGTTTGTTGATATATTGTACTGGAATTCGAAGCTTGGAAAAAAAATTACAAGTACCATATTGTTTTTAATAAGAAAAGCCCTGACTAATGAATTTCATGCCAAAGCAGAAAACATTTAAAGTTTGAGATTGGAGCAGAACAGAATTAAAATTACATTGAATTATCTGATAAAGAACAGAATGAAAATTACATTCAAGTATCTGATAAAGAACAGAATTAAAATTACCTTTAAGTATCTGATAAAGAACAGAATGAAAATTACCTATAAGCATCTGATAAAGAACAGAATAAAAATTACATTCAAGTATCTGATAAAGAACAAAGTTAAAATTACCTTTAAGTATCTGATAAAGAACAAAGTTAAAATTACCTTTAAGTATCTGATAAAGAACAGAATTAAAATTACCTTTAAGTCTCTATGAGCAATATTCATTGCATGAAGGTGAGCAACTGCTAATGCAATCATTCTTACAATGGCTGCAGCTTCTAAAAAGGACCAACAGAGAGAACAGCTTTATACAAATTCTGCATATCAGCAAAAAATGTCTTAAAAAAGTAGACATTGTCAAGAAGCAATATTATTAAAATGTTGCTGGAACCTTTCAAAAAGTCGCAAATAGCCTTTTTGAATTAACTAGACAAAGAAAGATCTCATGTCTCTTCAATCAAAGGAATGGATCGTCTTACCAGGAATAGCAATATTGCACGACTGGAAAATAGCCCAAAAATACAAAAGGTCTTCCTTATATACTAAAAACCGATGCCATGTTGGCTGGGAGGCAGCAGAACTAACACGTAAAAACCTGCAGCATATTATTATCGACAAAAAAGCCACATATTACAAACGCACTCTCACTTTCAAACTCATATTTTATGTTGTTTAAATCACACCTTGTCAAAAGTTATTATAATTCAGGGGACTGGGGAGAACACAGAATGAAGCTGCCAACAGTTCTTAAAATCATTATCAACACACGAAACAAGAAATCATTTTCAGAAACAAGAAAATTAATAGCATTCAGAATGCTGCTTGAGCTATAGATTTAGGGAAATGTGTAAGGGAGGTCTAAGCCCCTATTGAAAGACCACTTAAGTCAAGTTTAAAACATTCCATTTCCTCTTCTATCATTTCGATCATACACAAATTGCTTGAGTGTTTCAAGCTTAATAATTCATCAAAATCAAAAATTATTTGCAGTTATTCGAAGTCAATACCTCGGAAAATCACTCAAAAGATTTTTATCTCTAAAAGCTCATTTTCCAAATTGCAAAATAATACATTCATTTTGAACTTTTGTTATAGCATTCTCAATAATATTTAAATTGATATGAAAACAAGAATTCAATAGAGCGACAGTGTATTACTATACAAAACCTCTTTCTGTAAATGGTGTATCTCCATGCTGTTGTATTCTTTCAAATAACTCTCCACCATCCATGCTAAAGATAAAAAGGAAAAGAAGCCTCAAATTTTGACAATTTTTCAACCGACTTCTTGAAATCCTGATTTACTAGTCAACTGAGCCCTTTTTCGACAAATTGGCAAAAAATTCCCTTTTTTCTGGTTTATCTGTAAATATCGCCCTTGTCAAAATTGGTGAATTTAAAATTTAGTTGAAATGACGTAGAAGGGAAGCAGAACTATAAACTGAATTACCATGAGCTTCAGAAAGAATATAGCTGTTGGGTTCGGGTGAAGGGAATTATAAAAAACAAGTACTTGAATGTAGCCAAATCACCAGAAAGTGAATTCAGAAGATAATTTCTTGGTCTATATACAACCAACAACACTGATTTTTGACTCATTTTTGCCACCTCCAATCCCACAGTAACAAAGGCCCTGCTTCCATAAATTAAAAGTAGAACCCTAAAACATTCAGCAGCTCGAATAGAGATCTTTTGCAAACGTCCAGAAGCGAAGGGTGCAAGGGCTCCAAGAAAAAATGCAAATATTGAAAAAGGAATTTCAAAACAATAAACTGTGTTGATGATGAAGAAAATTAGCCATAACTATATAAGAACACTGCAAACGGCAATCGGATAAAAAGGGAAATGCCTCAGACTTATAAGAAGCTTTACTTCAAGACTGGATTCTCTCTTCTTGTCTGTTTGGCATTAACTTTGAAAAAGATGATAAATCCCAGGTGTGAGAGAAGAAACGAGGGGAGGACTCTAGACACAATGTTTATGAGTATGAAACTTTTACTGATGAAAGGAAAGGAGGCAGGTTAGTGAGCATGTTGAAAAAACAGCGCTGGCAAGATAAGAAATTGATCATGAATGTGAAGACAACAAAACTTATAACAATTTGTATTTTTCATAAATAACATGTAGAAAAGGTTAATGACTAAAAATCATTGATCCATAAACCTTGATCATCCAGCCAATAAATTTGAAAACTCACCTTCAGTTTACTTTACACTGATAACAAATGAAAAGCAAGCTGCTAGACTCACCATTCCATCACAATAAGAAGACAATCATCCCTCCCAAATTTGTTTTCATACACATCTATTATCTTCACAATAAATGGACATTCACAAGCCTTCCAATGAAGGTCTAATTCTCTTTGTGATTTAGGCGTACATTTCAACACCTGCAATTAAAACATCATGATTAACAGTGAGTTTTACTTTCAATGAGCCATGTTGCTTAAATACAAAGGGCACAGAGAATGCATCTGATAACAGAACCATTCCTGCTAAAAAAAATGCTTATCAGAATAAGGACCCTTAAATTTCTTCAGAAACATACAGCAGCCCTGCAGTTCCTTTAATCAAATCGGGAACCATAAAAGATAGAAGTGTGAGATAAAAGGGCAATGGTGGGCTTTCAACAGAATAAACTGGGTTGATTCACAGAGCTTAGTTGAGTTGTTTCTTCCGCTGTATGACTAGCTGGCTGCAATTAGGACTTTGGCTAGAATGACTGAATTGTTTGAAATTAGGCAAGGAGTGAGATAAGGATGTACACTGTCCCCTTATCCATTCAATATATTAATGAGCTGTTTTTGAGATAAGTACTGGAAAGATTTGAAGGGACAATGTGGGTTGTTGAAAAAAAGTACAAAAAGTGTTGAGATTTTAGGTAACAGACAGAATATATCAAGTAGGAATGCAAGTTTCTCTCATCCCAAATAATAAAAAAACAATGTTGATGACTAAAATAAAAAGGCAGGGTCTGATGTAGGTAAGCAGGAAAGATTGTCAAATCACTTCAATTCTCTGAGAGTTTGATCAATGAACAAAATAATGAAGCTGTGGAGATATAAAGGAAAAATGCATGCGATAGCAAAAAGGTTGGAAAAGTTAAAGCTGAGAAATATTGTGAAATGTGGCATCCCAGAAGATAATTGTTTGATCATACAAGTGACTTGGACTGAGAGAAAAAAACACAGTTACATAATTTTCAGAAAATGAATGTTTAGGAAATTTCTGACGTTATCAAAATGATTTCAGACAACTTGTGGATGAATTAACAGCCACATGCATGATCATTGTTCAACATTTTTCTTTGAAAGCTTCTGTTTCATCAAAAATTTCAGTTTTGAAAAACTAAAAATTGTCAATCAAAAAACCAGGCAAGGTTTATGATTAACAGTGCTGATTTTTGCCCATTCCTAAATATGTACTGGAATTTTGACCTATCAAACAGCCTAGATTCACAAATATAAAATTCAAAATGAGACAATGAGATCATCTCAACACCTTATGAACATCATTGTAGCAAAAAATGAGTTTAAAGTTTTTCACATTTTTTCATTTTTCAAAGTTTAAAGTTATCATAGTTTAGTTAAGATATCATAGATATTTAAATCTATTCTGTATACTTTGATGATGAAAGCGATGATGTGTATTTTCATTTCCATTGAATGAAACCAAACAAAATGCGATTTTTGCTTTAAAATCTATTAATTCTTAATACAAACATGTAATAATTTTGCACAATAAATTTTCAATTAGACCTTTCATAGCCTAATTCTTGAGACAGTACAGAAAATAGCAGCTACTTTTTGTCTGACACTCCGCACAGTTTCATGACTACTTTGCTATGTGAATCTATTAGTCTGCCTTCCAAGTACTCCTTAGTTGAAAAAAATTATCAAGCCTGTCAACATGATTTTGCAAGTAAGAGTAACCTGGCTTTCACATTGGCATTTGTATAAAAACAATTCCAGTTTGTCAAAACTCAAGTCCTTTATCAGTTTCCCACCACTATTTGACGAAGTTAAATGAAATCAATGACAGGGGGGGAAGATAAATCTCTATGAGTATTCCTATGACTTGTAAAACACTTAGATAAAATTCCAATGATAATTAGATTGATACTGAGCATTCTAGTGGAACTGGTATCTGTAATAAAAAATCTGGTATTTACACGATGCCAACTTTACTTGTGGTTTCCTGTTGTTTTTTCATCAACCTGGTTAGATAAAGCTTCTAGATGATGCATCTTTAACTTGCGGTTAAGACAGATCATGTCAAGCAACTTCTTGAGATAGTTTAAAAATCATCTTTAGTCTTGGTTTTGGACATTTTCTCAAAATCACACTGGTTCAAGGTAAGGCAAATGTCAAGCTTAGGTGCACAAATATATCAAAAGGCAGGATTGGTGCAGGGGTCATTTTCCCTTTCTAAGACTTTCATAATTTCTATAGATCAGGGGGGAAACCTCATAAAGATATCCTTGAAAAAAAGCCTCCCACCTCTCTCCCAATAAAAAATTTCAAAGAAAAACAACAAACATGAGGAGACAAATATTGTTCCTGTCACTTTTCTCTTGCTTCTAGTCTCTTTGCTTTTACAATACTCGAAGCAAAGATCCTAAAACAATGTTTCTTGACAAATAGGTTAATGGAAGTCCATCATTTGCAATAACATGTTGAGCAAACTACTTTCAAGATCCCAATGTGATGGAATATGATGATTTCATATGATTATTATGTGTAATACTAGCAATGTGAATTTTGTACCACAAAATAAGTATGAAACAAACCATGATAGCAGGCTATAGCTCACGCCCACGGCCGCACAAACGCGGCACAAAAAAATTTGAAAGGCCTTTTCTCTGCCCGTGCAGTTGTTTATAACAACATTCTCATTCAACCCACTTCATCCCACTCCCCAGTGTTCTAACTACTTACCGCTATATACCCGGGTATTTTTAAATAATGTCATGTCAAAGAAATAGACGGTTTTAGTAAATATCGTTATAAAAAGGAAATTCAGTTTCTCTTGAGAACAAATGTTAACAAACTAATGTATTACCTGCTAAAACTTCCAATGGGATAGGAAATGCTTGTGTATGCAAGGAACAACAGATAGCATAACATAGCAAGAATAAGAATTGTTTCATAAGAAAAGAGTACTGGGCAATCAGAAAAACTTAAAAAACTGCATTTTGCAAAGCAAAAACCAGAAAAATTCGTTTTTGCTCTTGGACTCTTCAACTAGGTAAGAGATAAGTGGTTGAGATTGGTCAATAACAGAGAACCAATCATTCACGCTTTCCAATCTCCTGCATTAATTTTGATCCACTTAAAAATTTTGACCTTCATTTCTTATAGAAAGAAGTGTATTTCAGTTATATTTTCTTGAATGTTTAAGGCAAATAAATTTTATCTTACTCTTTAAATAATACTTTATTGCTCTTTATTTTTAATTGCTCTATATTTTTTCAATAAAGATGAGTTTTGTTGGATCCTATTCAATAAATCTGTGTTTCTTCAAAAAACTTTGTCATCTTGCAAAAAAACTAGATATCCCTTTTGTCATTGTAAGGAGTAGTTATGCACACAAAACTGTCTTCTAAGGAAAAAGAATGTTTACAAGTAGGCAAAGAAATATAATTTTTTCCTTCTATATACCCAAATAGAAGTAGATAGACAACAAATTCTGCAAGGGCTAAATAGCCCACGCAAAATGACCACCAGGGGTCTTTTTTAGCCTGCGTGCTGCTTTTTCTTGGAGAGGCCTGATGATAGCTATAACATTACTATAAACATTTCTTGTTTGAGCATTTCTGAAAGATGACTGGGAAGAGAACTTTTCCCTAATAATATATTTCATCTGTTGCTCTTGGATAGACCCAACAAACGCTCTTAAAATTGAATTCCAGGAGCATAAGGAGTTTCAAATTTTTATGGATGATGCAAAACACTTCATCAATGGATAATGCATTATTCCCAAAATGTTTTCAATTTGCCAGGAAAAGCCTTGGGTCTATCTGACAGTCTGGAATGCCTCTTAAATTGCCCTTGTTTGATGGGTCAACAGATCATACTATAATAGAAGTATTTTTGAAGAATAAAAACACTATACAAATTACAGCTTGCTCTAGGTAAGCTCTGTGTGTCCTTAGAAATGTGTACAGACATAACTGTGTGCTTGCAAATGGATGGACTTGTTCTACTTCTAATGGCCTAATATGGGGCCATTTCATGTAATTTAATTGTGGGCACAGACTAATTTCTATGATCTATTTTTGGAAAATATGAAGATAAAATTGACAGTGCTCACAGGGGACCATGAATTATCCAAAAATGTGATTATGCAAGTCTTGCGAGCAAAATACTAATACTAAATAATTAAACCAAATAGTATGAAAGACAGTGAAAGTTGTAATTACTTCAACAGTCACATTTTTAGATTTTACCTCAATTTAACTAATTACTTCGTCTAATTTCAATCAAAGTACCTTAAATTGTGAAACAAATATTGCTTTGTAGCACAAAAAACAAAGCACTGAATAAATGGGATACAAAGCATGTCTTCGCTATTTAAATCATAGGTGACTGCTTAAAACGTAAAAGGGTTTCACTTTCAAGAGATCCCTTTTGAATGAGCCTTTTGCAAAGATTGTAATTCTATCTTAATTGATTTAAGATGCGATTGGTAGAAGGGACGTGACTAATCCCATATTGGAGGTACGTAGATATGCATGCTGACCCATTAGACAACCACGTGTGTAGTTGAATGAAATAGACTTGTGAAAAATAGGTAATTACTTTTCATTTGTCGAAAATATCATTAGACTATGTACGACGAAACCAATGCACAATCTTTATATCCTGGCGTGTTAGAACAGTCGAAAAATGGCCTAAAAACTTCAGGCTTGCATTTGCCTTACCTTCAAAGCGAATCTTTGCCTGTCGCTCTTTCTGATACATTCTAGAACTTTTCCGTTTATCCCAACACCAAGTGATTTCTGAGTGATATCATATTCATTCGATATAGGATTTTTTCTCGTTGTATAGGGTCGATTTTGAGGCCACACGAAGTCCATTTTACCGTTCTTCCCTTTTATGATCCGGTTTCCCATCTTTCGTCAACTCCCCGCACAATTACGTCATCAGGCATTCAAAATCGGTCGCGCTGTTGATAGAAAAAAAATGTTTAGATATTACTTTTCTACCAATTTGTTTCTCCCTCAGCCCAGCAAGTTGATGGCTTCAAGAGGGATAGTTACACAGCTTTAACTAAAGGACATTTGCTTGGGGGTCAAGTCTTGAATAAAATTTCTTGTTTTTTATTCAATGTTCTTGAGGGGCAACAAGAGCCTGTTACCTTGAAGAAAAATTTCACAACGGTGCAGGAGAGACCTTCTGTCTATGTTAAAGGAGCCCTGGTCACGAAGGCATCTGTTTTGTAGAACGACAGTGTAGCTGATGTGATGAACGCGAAGTAATGCTATCTGTGTGTTCAAAATATGCAATTGCACAAGATGACGTAATATCTATCGAGGTAAAGTTAGGTTTCTTGTGGTACTGTCAGTGGGGACTGGCAGGGATGCTAGGTTGCGATCGCAACCCGGGCCTTCTCAACTTCATAATAACCGGACCCTCCGTAGATAAATTCGAGAAAATAACTCAAAGTTAATTTCAAAGAAATCTATGTTCAAGAGAATACAAGTCACAGAAACGAAGATAAATCCTTAGAAAGAAAACATTTCAGTATTGCTTACCAGGGGCGTTGTGGCTAGGCGGGACACGGGGAAAATTCTCGGTGGCCCCCTTTTCGAGTGAGTTTGTAAAACCCAGGAAAATATCTAATATGAACAAATTCTTTGGTGAGAAAACGCCGCACTTACATGTATACTCAAGTTCACAGTTCAGAATTAGAATCAACATTTACAAACAGGCAACTGTGAAAGAGATGCGTGGAATATGAACAGGGATGCCGAGAGAGGGACAAGGAGGGGCAAACTGTCCTATGGCCTCAAGGTCTAGCGGTCCTCTTAAAGCAAGGAATTCCAGATTAAGAACTGAATTTTAACAAAACGCAACAAAGTAAGCCTTAAAAATTTGTAAAATGAGGTAAACGACTGTTAAAAGCATCCTGAATCGTGTTTCAAGCTAATTTAAAGGGCGTGGCCGAAAAAAATTGCATATATGTCTTCTATTGCATTTTTGTTAGTATCAACTGTGCACTACAGCATTGAATTTGTTCCTCATTTTTTGCAGTCTTACAGTATCTATGGTTAGAACAAAGGGGCTACACCCCAACAAATATAGCAGATGAACGTTTCAAAATGATAAAAACTTGGATCTTTTTAATATTTCATAGGTGCATGGTTTCCAGGTGCATATCATTTTTGGTGGTTTGGGTTTATGATTGAAGATATCATACACAAGAGTGGGCCCCCTTATGATAATTTTCTCCCGGCCCTTTTCTAGGAGCCACAACGCTCCTTACATTATACGTAGTACGGGCCCCTTTTCTGTATATAGCAACCCGAGAGATTTGCTGCCAGTCCGCCTCTGGGTACTGTTATGACTCCTGTTCGGCTTGCACGTTTTCAGACTAATTTAAATAATCCAGGAATCTTGATGCTGCCACGAACAGGGGCGAAACTACCAGAGGGGTGTGGGGGGGGGTGTGACACCCCCCCCCCCCCCCCCACCCCAAAAAAAGGCG